ACTCGCGTGGTTGGACATACAGACAATCAGTCAGGCAGCGCTGGGCGAATACATTGTTTTGCCATAAAACTTGCGACATACCTGAGAACAAGTTACATTTATTTATTTCCTTATTTCTTACAAATAAGCTACATAATTTACCGCCTGTAAAAAGCTGGAAAATTATATAGCAAACACACGCACGCAACTGCTGCCCTTTTATATTATCGGACATGAGAAGAAAATATCAAAAAATGAAAAGGAAACACGCTTCCATTAAAAATTCTGGAAAGCTGAACGGCGTTTTTGAACATTTCTAATACACAATACACAAACAAAAAAATAGCGCAAAATGTTTTTTGGAAAAATCAACAACAATAATATGTATTCATATATACATATACAGATATCTTACAACAATAATACAACAATACACTACCGAATAATCGTTTCGCTATCACTTTGCGAATTCAACCACAATAAATAAACACATTCATAATGTTTGTATGTATATATTTCTCAACACAACACACGACAACATCTAATAAGTCAAAACACTACCAAACCGAAGGAATGCCAAACGGGTACTGAATAGTGTGGTTAAAAGCATAAAGCCATCATGTGTTGTTGCCTATGCGCATGCAATGTGCGCATAAAGAGCATACGAACAGCTGTCGAGCTGTCGAGCGACAGAGCGTAGAGCATGAGCTACTAACTGCATTGCAGTAACGGTAACAGACCTATTGACTGCAATGACTCTATAAAGTTCTTTAGGTCGCGGCGTTTGTCTCTGTTATTTTTTTTGTGTATCGCTGGGATAAACAGTGGGCGCTTGTTGGGATGTTGAGGGGTGAAATATTAAAAGCAGTGATTTTTTTCAGATTACTGACATAAGTTTCTGTGACAAGGTAAAGTATATTTAAATGCCGAAGTCTATGTACTTCGTCATACCTGCAGCTCATGCAACATCTTAATTGGCTGTCCTTAGACCCGTGAATGCCGTCATTTAATGTGTCTTCAGAATTCCAATTATGCTTAAAACATACTCCTTTTTCAATCTCATTTTTTCCAAGTTTGTCTCGACTTGGTTAGGTGAAATTCGGTTCCCAGCTTAACCCGGCTTGTCTGTAAAAATATTCCCTTAGTAACAGTTTTTACCTAACTAGAGGCATACTAGTGCGTTTTTTCTTTGAAAGAACTTGCTTTGCCGGAATCTTGCCAAGCAAGTTTGTCTGCCCTACAATTCCCCTTAATATCTCTGTGATCATGAACACAAATGAGGATTAGTCTATTCTATTCAGTCATTTCCAGAAGTGATCTGCAATAATTCAGTATAACCATAGTTTGAAAATAGAAAGTTTATTACTGACCGACTGCAACTGAATATTAAGTTGTCTGAGTATTTTTTAACAACGACTTTAACAACATTCAAGTAAGAAAAAGATTTCAGGCTGGCAAGCACTGAAAGGATGTGGTAGCCACATCAAGAAGGATTTCGTAAGAAACGCCGATTCCCATTATATTATTATATCCCTTTGTCCTTTCCTTTCCTCTCTATGGATATGCAAAGAAACGCTGCAATCTGCTATCGAAATTTTCTAAACAGGATGTGAGGGATTTCACTCAAAAACTTCACTTTTCTTCTTCAATTTTCTCTTTTGAATCTTATCAAATCACCTCGGATACCATAATTTAGAAGCAAATTCTGGGACTTAAGTCCAGTTTTTTAACGCCAGCTCTTACGTAGTCCGATTCGATGTTTCTGAATAATATGATCTGAGCTCAGCTCAGTTTCCTTATATCTTCAGCTTCTATAAGACGAAGTCATTTAGAATAGACTCGGTTCAAGTAGAAAGTCATTTTAATAAGAGCATTCAGATCACCGGTCCGGAACACCGCTCTGAGGTGTACGGCTAAATAATGATATTCACAAGGGAAGTATTCTCATTAAAGGCTTCTAGTGCCTTAAGAGCTAATCCCAGCCTGTCTTTGTGCTTATAGAACATAGTTGAAGTTTAAACATGCTTATTTTGAGCCAGTACGTAGATACCTCTAAGCTAATTTGAAGTAGTGAAGAAAAAATCCTTCTTTTATTTACTGGCCTCGCTTAGCAAAATCGACTAAGAAGTAATTGCGAGTTTTCCAGGAAACGAGTAGCTAATAATAGTTCTATAGTTTCGTCAACTGACTGAGACCCATCCTGCCTCTCAAGAAATCATGTGTAGCTGCGGGATCTATAAATTATATACTCAGCCTAATCAATGATAACAGTAACATTTCATCTACGAACATCTTTTAACCTCGCTCAGAGCATTATTATAGACTTTAAGTATCTCTAGAAATAAGTTCCAATTGTGTTCATTAGCCTTTCTTTAGGAGTTGTTATAATCCATGATTTACAGCGATAGACTTTTATATATCGGCTTATCCAAAAATATTCCCCCAAGTAACGCTATACGACTATGGAATATCGGAAAGATAACGAATACCATAGGGATCTTTATTCACCTCTCCCTGTAAATTTAGAAGTAAATTTATAACTAATAATAAAGTGTACTAAACGGATATCTTAATAAAATACGGGTCAGATGAAGAGACCGTATAAAAAGTGAATATTGGAACACTTCCTACATAACTTTGAAGTCCCAAGGAAAAATTTGGATCCCTTTTTAGAACTATGCTAAGCCGATTTGAGTGGGTATTTTCGAAAACATTAATCATTCAAAACCATCATTCATGGCATAATCTTATTTTGACCTCTTTCTTAACTCTTCTTGGACACTGTCGTGTTGCTGCCCTTTCAACTATATGTAGTAGTTAAATGAGAGAGAGCCGTTCAGCCCAGAACTTAGATACCTACATACATACTCATGTGCCAATCTGTAAAAATTAAGTCAAATGAGAGAAAACTTGCCAAGTTAAAAAAAAAAAACACTCTTAGGAACATATTAACTCAATAAATAAACACCAGGAGCAGGCAGCCACAAGACTGTGTGACAACAGCCAAAGAAAAAAACACTAAGATTGTAAAAAATAGCAACAACAACAATTATATGCAAACAAATATGAACAATAAAATGTCCAACAGTCAAAAGAATGGGCAAACGACAAAACAACCACCAAATTATGAGCACAAGCTAACAAAGCAATGACATAACCAGCTGCAATTGCGATAACTACAACAAGGCATATGTATGTAAATACAAACAATATAAATTTACAAATATGTTGTAGAAAGAAATTTGGAGAAACACCGGAATTGGCATAAACGGCCGCTGTGTGAATACAACGTTTATTCGTGAGACCGGCAAACAAGGTAAACAACAGAGAGGGAGAGGATGTCAAGATAAATATCCTAGGAGATACATCGCTTAACACTTCGGGAGCTAATTGGTAGTGTTGCGATGGAACAGTGAGTTGGTTAGAGAATTTAATTTACATTCCGTAAAAGCTGCTAACAGAAATGTTAAGAGCTGTGAGTTAACATAATAAAATTATGTCTGTTAGAATTGGCGCAAAATAAAATGAGTTAAACAAATAAAATAAAAATTGATATAAAATAAAACCAAACTAAAATTAAATATAAATGAAAGGAAGAAAAAAAATTCAATGAATTAAATAAGAATAAAATAAATCAAAATAATGTAATATGAGATCAAAATAAAACAGAACAAAATTAAAGAAAATATTAGAACAACATAAAACGATATTAAAAAAATAAAAGAAATCAATAAAAAATGAAATAAAATTAAATTAATTAAATGAAATTTAATTAAACAAAATTAAATAAATAAAATCAAATTAAGTTAATTTATTTTCTAATAACTTGAATCCAAATGAAAAATTTAAATTAAACTATAATAAAATAAATAAAAATTAAGTAAGACAAAAACTAATAAAATGAAATAAAATAAAGAAAATAAAGAAGGAAATAACATAATAAGTAAAATAAAACAAAATAAATAAAACAAATAAAATAAAATAAGATAAAAAGAAATTAAAGTAATATAAATAAAACAAAATAAAATAAAATTAAATTAAAATAAATTAAATTGAAATAAATAAAATTAAATTAAATAAAATATACTAAAATAAAATAAAATTTAATCTGTTAAAAATTAAATTAAATAAAACAATATAAAATAAAATGAAATTAAATTAAACAAATTTAAATAAATAAAATTAAATTTAGTTAATTTATTTTCTAATAACTTAAATTAAAATTAAAAACTTAAACTAAATTAATAAAAATAAAGTAAGATAAAAATTAATAAAATGAAATAAAATAAAGAAAATAAAGAAGGAAATAACATAACAAGTAAAATAAAACAAAATAAATAAAACGAATAAAATAAAATAAGATAAAAAGAAATTAAAGTAATATAAATAAAATAAAATAAAATTAAATTAAAAGAAATTAAATTGAAATAAATAAAATTAAATTAAATTAAATAAACTAAAATAAAATAAAATTTAATCTGATAAAAATTAAATTAATTTGAAATAAATTTAAATGAAATTACTTAATTAAAATTAAATTAAATAAAGTTACATAAAAAACAAATGAAATAAAAATTAAATAAATATAATTAATAAAAATAGGGTGAAAAAAAAATTAAATAGATTTAAAATAATTTAATTTTAATTAAAATAACATAAAATAATATGGAATAAATTAATTTTGAATAAAATAAATTAAGTCAAATTTAATAACAATAAATTAAATTAAATTAAAAAATGAAATAAAATGAAACTAAGCAAAATAAAACAATACAAAATAAAATTGAAGAAAAAAATGTGTTATTCCTATGAAGGGTGTTCTTTGAAAATATTGCAAACCCCACTGCGCTATGCAACCCTAATCATTCCATTGCCTCATAAACTCCAGTACTTACGAAGGTTCTTGTCGTCAGTTCAAAATAATCGAACGCTAATTTACATATTTACATCAAATCACAACAAATATTAATTCTACAAAACATGTGCCTGGATATGAACAGTTATTATAATGCTCGAACATGGTACCATATGGTGTTGGTGGACGTTATTTTTATTGCTGGCGTATTTGGAGTGTGTTTCTACTTTTATGTAAGCGTGAATTAAGTTTGAAAAAAGTGTCCAATTTAATAAATAGAATAAAATAAATAAAATAAAGTAGAGTTTTTGTTTTACATCTTTATAAGCTTAGATATGTGTTGTCATCGATTTAAATTTATCAAATTGTAAATACAGAAATTACCTTTAAGATGTCTCATAGCCATCCCAAGCGTATTAAAGTAATTGTAATTGCACATTTACTTACTTTTTTTCTAATTTGCGAGGTAAGATTTGCAAGGAGTAATGCATATATAGGACTTTTGTGTTATTAATCCTTGTGACACTTCTAACCAAGTATGTTTGTACATTTTAGCAACAATTTGTCAATTCTGCTGAAAGAACGTCTGCTCTATCCGATGCGCAATTAAAGGAGATAGCAAAAATTCGCAGTGAACTGAATGAGGCACTGGAAGCAGAGCAAGAAAATGTAGCAGCAAAGGTGAAATTGATGTCATTTATTATTGTATAATTAATTCAGCGTAATTAAAGTTTTTTATATTAGATTTCTTTTAATTAAATTATTTTATTTCATGTTCTTTTTTCACTGTTATTTTTAAATTTTTTCTTCTTTATTTTGATTTCACATTAATTTCATTTCCTAAAACTAATTTATTTATTATACTTAATTTATTTCTAATTTAAGTATTCTAAATTAAATGTTTTATTTTCTTTCATTTGTTTTTTACATATCTTATTTCATTAATTTAGTTTATATTAATTGCTACTAATTCTTATTTTGTTTTATTTTATTTTATTTCGTTTATTTCGTTTAGTTATAATTTTTCAATTTTTATATTATGTATTTTTTTATATATAATTAATTTATTTTTTTAATTCCATTTCTGTTTATTTCATTTTATTTATTTAATTTACTTTAATTTAAAATAATTGATTTCAATTTCGTTTTCTTATTTTTTTTTTAATTTATATTATTTTATTTTACATCATTTGAATTTTTTATTTCATTTTACTTTATTTTATATCTTATTATTTTATTTTATTCCAGTTTATTATTATTTTTTTTAATTTATTCAATTTTATTTTATTTTGTTTTTTTTTTTATTAAATTTTTATTTTATATTATTTTTCGTATTTTTAATTAATTAAATTTTTTTATTTTTATTTTTAATTGAATTTGTTCTATTTGTGTAGTCAATTTAATTGAATTTTATTTATTTAATTAAATTTTATAATTTAATTGAATTTTATTTATTTTATGTTTATTTTTTCATTTTTTTATTTTATTTTAATTTATTAATTTTTTTCTTTTTATTTATTCTTAGTTTAGTTTATGGTGGTTTTATTTTATTTAAGCATATTATTTAATTTGATTTGTTTTAATATTCTTAGATTTATTTTAAGCTGTTTTAATTATTTACTATAATTGTTAACTGATTATTGCTTATTTTATTGTTATTATTATTATTTTTTTTCACTACATTTATGTATTTTATTTTATTAATTTAGTTTAAATTAATTGCAATTAATTTTTATTCTATTTTAGCTTTCCTTTTTTTATATTACTTTGTTTTAATTAATTTTTTTAATTTAATTTAATCATATTTTATATTTTGTTATTTAATTTGATTTATTATTTTTTTATTTTATTGTTCTATTTAATAAAATTTTATTTATTTTGATTTAATTTTAATTTCTTTAAGTTTATTTAGTCTTGCTACATTTTAAATTTTTTTTCATTTATTTCATATAAATTTTGTTTTCTATTCGCTTCTTCCTAGGGCGTAATAGTGCAACCCTCCTGGACTTCCAAGCAGGGCAAGACAACGGATATTCAAACCAAAGTCAAGGTTGAGGTAACGCAAGAGCGCATAGATGAGGTTAATCTGCTACGCGCTGAAATCAACAAAAGCAAGATCCAACAAACGGAAAATGATCATCAAGTTCAGGAACTCATAAAGGAGTTCAACGCACAAGGCGCAGGGCGCTCAGCACTTGAAAAAGTCGTCGGAGCTTCACAACCCGATGGTAGTGAACTTGTAGGCATGGGTGAGCAAGTCGATCCGAATACCCGACCAAACGTGGTGGAAGCTAGTGTGCAAGAAGATATGCATGAATTCGATTTGCGAAAGCTTCAACGTCTAGAAATATCGCGGCGCCGCTTGCGTGAGACCTTAGTACTTAAATCTATTGAAGAAGACTACACATTTGACCTCGGTGATGACGTACAACAATGGGAGCACATACGACACAACGGCAGCGAGTATTTTGTTGGACGTCGTGAACAGAGCCTTTTGGTTGTGCACAAAGAAAGCGCCACTTATCGGACGGGTACGGTGTTAGAGATCAATCAACCAATAACCTATTTACTCACCTACAATTTTTGGAATGACGTGCAAGCACAAACCGAAGGTATTACACTGGTCGCCACTCAGGATCGTGTGTTGTGGTATCGAGTTAGTGATATCACACATAAGTTGGAATTATACTGGCAATGGGTGGTGGGCAATACCGTAACTGGTCTCACACACTTTACGGTCGAGCATAAGAACTACCTAATAGTGTCCACGAACCAGTCGTCACATAGCGGGCTCTATACATTGAACATATATCAATTTGAGCTTGGTGCACGTGAATTTTGGATAGCGCAGCGCATGCAATTGGAATTCCCTTGCGTCGAGACTACCCTGCTCGATACGGGTCGGGATCTCGTACTCGCTGTGCCGCAGAACAACACAGCCGCTATATACAACTTCAATCCGCGCGCTGACTCTACCGATTACTTACGCTTCAAACTAAAACAACACATCGTATCCGAAGATATTGAGTCAGTCGCTGCTTTTCGTATGGGTGGTCGTAGCTATATCGCAATTGGTGGTCAGCAGCCGCAAATACTACTATATCAACAGGGTGAGCTTGTGCCGAAAACAATATTGGCGCATAACTTTGGTGTCGTGCAACTGTTCTTTCCCGTTCCGGTGCGCACCTACCGCGATGATCTCATATTACTCGTGCAACATCGTGTTGACTTCGCTACTCATAGTCTCACCGTGCTCGAGACACTCATTTGGGATGGCGAGGCCTTTGAGGCCAGCATACCGGTGCCCTGTAAGTTGGGCGTGCACACTGTTTATGGTGTTAGCTGCATGCTGGACATACAACGTGAGGCGGGCCTCAAAGGGGCAGCATACTTTCGGCGAGGCGATGAAGTATCGTTAATTGTGCCGCGTCATAATGCCGAGTCGGGGCTCTTTCGTTTACACACCGATTTGCTGGCTAAAAATTCAGAATATTTAGACTTACAGGATATTTATGCCTTTCTCAAGGATTGGGTGAAGGAGCAAGATGATTTGGTGGCACAAGCGCAATCATTTCTGCAAATGGGCGGTCAGACACAACCGGACCTCTCAGAATTAGAGGAGCTACAAACACCGGAATTAACTTTCGCAGAAGGCGAAGTGGGCGAAATTTATTTAAATGACTATCTCTGGACAGCTGAGGATACACAAATTGATCTGGATCGCGTTATAACGGCTATAGAACAATTAGAAGCAGATATAAACGGTGGCCGTCACAGGCGAGATGCTTTGACGGATGAGTTAAACTTTGAACATCTGGTGGTGGACAGTTTGGATGTGGAACGGTTGACTTTGAAGCAACTTAATGGTGAAGACTTTTATGTACAAAATGGTATGTTGGACTTCGACGGTCTTCTAAATTTGCAAGATTTAAAAGTTTCTGGGCATTTGCGTGCTGCCGCGCCACGCTCATCTACCGATCGGGATGCTAATGAGCAGAAGGATGTTAAGCATGGTTTAGATGAAGTAGAAAATGAGACGCTCGTACTTGATGGTGATCTCTTTTTTGAGTCTATTAATGGCATGCGGTGGCAGGAACTTTTGGAGAATATGGTATTCAAAAATGTGTCATTAAACTTGACGCAGCTCGAAGTGGATGGGGTGAGTCTAAGATTTTCAGTTGACCAAAAATAATTTTTCAAAGAAAGAGCATAGGCAATTAGTCGATGTCGTCGATACCATATAACAAGATTCCAAAGCTTAAAAGGAAAAGACTGCTAGTTGAGAGGGAGGACGTTATTTGTACGGGACTTATTGAATATACGATTCCTGTTCGGATATGTAGGAGTTAAGTCATTACAGTATTCCGACCTAAGATTTGAAAATATTTGTCAGAACTAGAGAGGCTCAAGATCTCGTAAGCTATAGGCGGTTCGTTAACGCTATTAACTGGAAGACGGTTGATTGACTTTTGAATTCTCCTTAGCAACATCAATGTAGTGAGACATCCACAGGGTTAAAAGGGCTCCTCCGGCGTCCAGATCGGTACTCCGAGATTTATTACTGGCGGTCGATAACATTGAGGGACGCTAAAAATGCTGTTCGCATTTGCAACAGGTTCTGAGCTCTGTAGATCAATGATAACCGCGGAGTCACATATAACTCCCAGTAACTCAAGGGTATTAGCATTCGAAATTTCGTCGTCGCCGACTTGATATTCCGATTAAACTGAGATCAAAGAGACACTCTCTGGTTGGCGAGCGCTGAGAGGACACAAACCTGCGGAGCTTCCTTTTTAATTTACTACAGTTTGAAGTTGAGGGCCCGAAATCCTACCGCCGATCGTCGAACACTCAGATAATTCTTGATCCAACTTTTTAGCCCCAGCAATTACTATATCAAAGGCCTTCGACAAGTCCAGTCATATCCAGACAGGTCGAATTTAAGGTATACGGGGGACTATGGCGGTAAGTGTGTTGGTAGTGGCGCCGTGCACTTCGCAGAAGGGATTCTGATGTTGTGTTGGGTTCTGGTAGTACGGGTTCATAAACGGAGTCCTTTCCAATCCAAAGTTACAGGCCCATCGTAGCGGATGACTTCTCTGTCATATTTTCGAGGATATTAACTAGTTGGAGGCACAAATTACTTCCCGTCAATAGCTTAAAAATACAATTAGAAAATGAATTTTAGTGGTTTTTAGGCTTTTGGGCCATCTGTTTAGGGATCTGCACCAGAAGAGAGACCCTCCCCCTGCTCAGTTCTTATTTTAAATTATACGTTTCTTCCAGGAAGTTATAATAGAGGACAAGCTTTCACTGAATAAATTGAATTCCCTCAACTTCCCCGAAGATCTACTTTGGTCCAATGGCTCTGCAGTTTCCGTTGTGCGCGCAGAAAAGACATTTACCGAGACGCTCTCTACAAATGCGCTGGATGTCGAGGGTCTATTGAACGGCGTAAATACCTCAGATGCTATAACATTGCAAGACAAGCAAGATTGGCAGGGACTGCCCACCTTCGCGGATCTCACCATAGCTGAGCTGTTGCAGGTGAATGAATGTTTACAAATTACTGAAAGTTATTACTTCAATTTTGGGTTACTTTAACAGCTAAACGGCACAACTCGTGGCCGTGATGTCGACGAACTGCCACACAATCCGACGTTGAGGGAAGTCCACAGCGTTGAAGCCACATGTACTTTTAAACAACTGCAAGTGCTCGGTGCGCTCAAACTCAAGGGTCACTACGATGGCCAGCCGTTAAGTAGCATACTCAGCGATATTGTGCAGCGCCCAGATGACCCAGAGACCGTTATCACTGTAGCCGCTAAGAAGCGTTTCAACGATCTCCATGCGCCCGTAGATTTTGAGGTGTTGGATGGCAAAGTAAATGGCTTGGCAGTGAGCGAGTTCGTGCCGGTGCATACCAAGCAAGAGCTTTTCATTAGCAATATTCAAGCTTATGTTTATTTTTCGAATCTGACAATTAACGGTAAATACGATGGTATAGACATAGCGGAGCTTGTGGAGAACACATTGAAAGTCGATGAGCCGCAGCTGGCTCTCGAGACGCGTCTTCAGTTTGCTGAGGTCATATATGCCAACGCAGTGAAAGTGCAACGCAGTCTCAATGAGGTGCCCATCGCAGAGGGTTATCAAAGCATATATGAAGATCTGCAAATACCAAAAGCGCACTTCGAGCAACTAAATACCAAGGAAGGCCACATAACGGGTGATATTAAGGCAGCGCCGGGTGCCAAATTATTTGGAGACCAGCAAACGCAGTCTACGCAAGCGACTGCGCACAAGCAAATCGGCGATATTTACGTAGACGAACTCAAACTCGCGCACGGACTCGAAGTGGACGAGATTCAAGGCATTAACGCCAGTCTTATATGGAGCTTTCTCGACGATATCGATGATTTGCCGGAAATGGTGTTGGACGGCAAAGTGCAGGTGGATCGTGTTGCCATAAACGGTGATGTGCATGTGCACAAGCTCAATCAGCAACGTTTCGACGAGGATCTGCAGCTGACTATTGTTTGGCTGAATCGCCCCAACTATTTGAGCACTAACCTAAAATTTACTGCGCCGCTCACAGTGCACGGCAATCTACAAGTGGCGCGCAATTTCAATGACATTAACCTCCAAGCCTTCATTGACGATATGGTTCTGCGCGTGTCCACAAATGGCACGCAAAATATCATCGCCACAAAGAGTTTCACACAAAGCGTGCACGTATCAGCTGACACTTATGTGGACGCACTGAATGGCATACTATTCACTGATATTGCAACAAAGAAAACAATTTCCAATTTCCGCGGCTCTGTACGTCTGCTGGGCGAACTCGTTGTGCAGGATCTGGAGATAACTGGCGCTCTCAACGGCCAACCGATGTCGATGTTCAGCAGCTCGTTGCGCTATGATCGACCCGCACAAGCGTTCATTGTGCAAGGTGTCACCCATTTTCGCACACCCGAAGTAATGCGCCTGCAAGATCTTACGGTCTTCGGCGCGCTCAACGATATGTCGAATATACAAGAGCTCTTCGAGCAATTGGTTTATAAGGATAAAGCCTGTGTCTTGAAGGGTCACAATATATTCACTGGTCGTGTTGGCATAGATAGAGGCGCGTACATACGCAATTTGAATGGCTACAATTTGTTGGCGCTCTTTGCGAATATCGTCTATGTGCAGGAGCCGCAGCCGGTATTGATAAGGGCGCCCATAACATTTAAAGGTTCGGTACGCGCTGAAAATATTTTTGTACAGGATGCACTGGAGGCCACAACCTTGAATGGATTTGGGCTGACGGAATGGTTCACGGACACCTTGCGACTCGATCGACCACAGGAGATAAGTCGTGAGTATTGTTTTCATTGTATTTTTCTTATTGTTGGAATAAATCTTCATCTTATGTAGGAAATAGCTTGTTTTTAATTAATTTAAATTCATTTATCAGGTGTGCAACTTTGCTTCCGCCGTTTTTTTCCAAAGTTAAAAGCTTTATTGAGAAAAAGTGCTTACAGATATATTATTCAAAGTATTGCCAGCGACAACTTTCTCCCATCTTTCCGGCAATTTTCGGATCCCCGCTCGAAAAAAGGAGTCCTCTTTTGACGCTATCCATGAAGCAATCCATTTTTCCAATTCTTCGAAGTATTGAAAATGTTGATATGCCAGGCCGTGTGCCATCGAACGGAATAGGTGGAAGTCAGAAGGGGCGATGTCTGGAGAATGCGGCGGGTGGGGCAAGACTTCCCATTTCAGCGTTTCCAGGTACTTTTTGACCACTTTTGCGACGTGAGGCCGAGCATTGTCGTGTTGGAGGATGACTTTGTCATGTCGCTCTTGATATTGTGGCCGCTTTTCTTTTAGCGCGCGAATAAGGCGCATCAGTTGCGTTCGGTAGCGATCTCCTGCGCTTCAGCTGCATTTTTTTCGAATTGTAACAGGCACATAAACGGACATTTTCGAGCGTGAATAATACGAAAACAAGAGCAACTGTCACTGAAACGGGCGATGACAATTCGTTAGGCACTGTCCACACTCACTTTAAAAGCATTACCATCTATGTATTTCAACCAGCTTCAGCCGGTACAGCCACCTATCGGAAAACGGCGGAAGCAAAGTTGTACGCCTGATATTTCATTACAATTTGATTTTACATGGCTTTCTTTTATATTTTACTTTTTTTCGAAATTACATATATATTTTTTTTAATTTTAAATAATTTTGGATTTTTATTGCAGAACACCTCATCTTTGCGCCGGGCAGCTTAGATGGCAATAGCCTTTATGCGAGTTATCTAAACGACATTGATCTCTCCCAAGTCGTCACTCTGCACACACGGCAGAATCTGACAGGAAATTTAACATTCTCGGAACTCAAATTAAACGGACAGATTTATGTACAGGGTTTAGTGAATGGCGTGGACTTGCAAACGGAATATTCAAATACTTTCATGGTAAGTATTTGTGGAAATTAAAGAATTAAAAACAAGCCAGTCCATGGACGGCAGACTAAATGAGTTCTCATTGACTCATGAAAATTTAAAAATAATAAATAATGCGAGACGAATCTTTTACGGCTCACAACGATCTAGTGTGTTCAAGTTTTCTAGTGTTATTTTTTTTTACTTTCCTTTTAAGCCGATTTTCTTAAGTTTTCTTTCCTTTTCAGAAACATGGTCATCAAGTCGTCTTCACACCGCTGACTCTGCAATCGGCTTTGGTGCGCAACAATCTTCAAACGAATGCGCCTATAAACAACGATAAGGATCTGCAGGAGGTGGCAACTCTGCAGGGTGATCAACACTTTGAGTCGCCTCTCTACTTTGGGAACGTTACCACGAAGCAATTGAAAACCAAATTTTATGTTTCCGGCATAGATTTGAACAAATGGTTTCAAGGCGCTCTACGTTCTCGAGGCAAACCTCAACAACTTATCACCGGCAACTGGAGTGTGCGTACATTAACCGTAAAATCCGGACCAACTTTACCCGATTACTACATTAACAGTGGCCGACCCAGACCGCTACCCTTTGACGCGCTCATACGCAATGTGCGTGAGGGCAAAGATTACGAGCATTTGTGTGAGAAGTTCCGCGGGCTGGTGCGGAAACAACAAAGACGCGGTTATTACTTGAAATATCTGGAACGAAGCTTTGAGTTGGCGTTGAGCATGTTTGGCGACAAGCAAGCGGCGCAACATGAAGCCATAAATACAGTTTTCTCACTGGGAAAAGATGGCGCCAATTATTTGCTTATAAACACAGGTGCACGTACCCATCTAATGAAGTGGCAACCACAGAAGGGAAATTACGTAAATGTGTGCATTTTCGTGAGTGGCGCGCTAGATCAAGCTTTCGCGGTAATGCGTGCGGAGGAGCTTGAATTCATCACTAATAAAGCGGGTGTAGAAGGCGCGCTTAAGCATTGGCGTCTATCGGATGGTAAAGTTATTTTGGTAAGGACGTACGAAACTACTGCCACTGATCTACTGTTAACCGTTAAACTTTACGCTCTACACGAGAATATTCTGTACGCTCATAATTTAAGCGAGTCTAAACACAGCGACGCCTGTTCATTGCCGAATGAGTGGGGCAAGCAGAGTTTTCGTTTTGTACCACAACACATACCGACGCTCATGCTTACCAATGGTGCAGTGATTTTACGCGCCGACGACGATGACGACGCGCTGAGTGAACGAGACAAACGCACCACCGCGCCACGTTATAGTTTACCGCTTTATTATCAGCGCGTGATCTCACCACAGGCGCATAAGCTGAGCGAGGACGCGGTGATGCTAAAGCCGAACGCGTCATATGTAACACATGAATTTCGCTTAGCCGACTTTCGCCGCGTTATCGTTAACATACTGGAAGATCTCAACTATCGTCTACATCTCGAGGTTAATATCACTCAACTGAGCATACCGGAGACGGACCTGCATGATGAACATTTGATCGCGGATTTCCTCGACATCATGCAGCAGTTGAGTACGCAGCAGATTTATCCGAACGTCAGCTTTGAGAGTTTGGAGTATAATATTTTTGATATGCCCGAAAACCCAGCGCAGATTTTAGCCGCGCGCACAGTACAAATCCTCTGGCCACATATTGTCGATATGGCGGAAATGCAAGGTTATCTGGCGACGAATATAGACGAACATGATGTGACGGTCGCCAATATATTGGAACAGTTGGGCACTACAGTTCGGGAAGTGCTCGTAGTGGCTAACAGCGAGGCGCATAGTGAGCAGGTGGCGTCAGCTGCTTATGATGCAACAGCAGAGCATGCCTGGGAGCTGAGTTTAGTTATCGAACGCATACGCGCACTACAAACGTACTTAGCGCGCACAGCGCATACGCTCAAAACACAGTTGCGCGCAGCGACAGAAGTTGAAGAAGAGTATGACGAAGATGAGGATGAAGAAGAAGTGGATCCAGATGAAGCAAACGCTGATTTGTTTATGAGCGCTAGCGAATCAATTGTGCAGACGCAGCTCGCCAAAAATAGTACGCTCACAATCGGTAACTTTACTTGGTCGAAATTTCTTAGTACAAATTTACCAGCACCGGGAGAGGGCGAAATTTTACAAATCATGCTATTGGCGCTACAGACGCCACTCGAAATTTTGGCCGTCACACGACGCGCGCCGCAACCACTGGTGGGAGTTACACAGCAGTCGGAAATAGTGCTGTATCTGGATGTCTTAAGAGATGTACGCTTTCAAACTATAAGCGCGCGTCAGCCGACGCGTTCGCTGAGCACTTTACAAATAGCCAGCGAAACGTTGCTGGCCTACGTTGAGGGCTGTTGCACGGTACGTGTGCTAATCTATCGAGGCGTACAGGGTTTCATAGAGTTCGCAAGCTTCGAAACCGACTCAGAGGTATTGAAAATATTCACTGTCGCACTGCAACAAGTTGGCGATGTGCTGGTGGCGCAGCCGCATTTGGGCATTGTGCATGATATGAAGATTGTATACTATCGATTTGTAGGCGCAGGCTCGGTGCTGCGTTTGCCCGAAGACTTTAATTGTACCTAAATGTGAGTTGTATGTACGATTGCTAAACAAAATTCATATATAATAAAATATACATACATAATATATACATTTTGTTAATAAAAATATTGTCATAGTTATATTAAACGTAAGTTTTTTTTATAGGATGGAAAGTATCAAAAGTCTTACATCCGCTAGTGTCACCTTTTAATTCACTTAAATCACCCAATCCTGACTGGTATTACCTGAAACTCTTTCTTCTTCTTATTCGTGCTCGTTTATAGAGTTAAGAAAAGCACCTCAGTCGTTTCTTCCTTTTGCCATTTGGCGTCAATAGCATAGCCACGACTTCTACCGCTTTATCTTTCTAACGAAGTGAAGGTCTTTCTTCTCTTTTGCCTCCATAAGTAGTCATTGCATCGAATGTATTCAAATCTGGAGTTTTGTCATCCATCCGAACAACCGGATGTCGCCATATAGCTCGACAGCTCATCCTTCCATCGTCTTTGGTATACGCTATTGACGCTGCCGAAGGATACATCTTCTGCAAAACTTTTCCCCGAAAATTCTGAGTGCATTTTATGTTGTTGGGCTTAATGCTGGTTCTAAAATAAACGGATTCACGACTTCCGATCAACTCTCTTCGCACCTCATCGAATTGTAAGAAAGCAGAACTAACGGTGCGGTTGTGGAGACCAATTATATTAATGTTATCGGCGTAAGCCAGTATCAAATGGCTCGACGAGGTATTTTTGAACACTGGCGAAGCTTTTGTTGTTGCTTAATGTGAGTTCGCACAGCCAAATAAGTTTTGCAGGGGTACTAAATTCAGACGCAGTGGTGGAGAGTCAACTTCTTTTCGAGCTACAGAAGGGCACCCTAAAATCGTGGTTTATGTCGATCCCCTTTTAGCGGATTTCCTCGCAGGCAAGGTCAAATCAGTTTGCATACGTAGGGCTTTAGTCTTTCACATAATACACTAAATAAGAGATACATATGTGGCAGTGATCCCACCATAATTGGCATTGTCTCCGTCGCTTTGTTAAATTTTAAGCGGTCCTTCGTTATTCAAACTTCTTCATAGTCGGGTAGTGGAACACCATTTCCAACTTCATTACTTGGTGATTAGGGCTAGACATCTCCTGTTATTCCATTTTCGCTGCCATTCCGTGGGTTGGAGAAATTTTCGCCCCATAAAATCAGTGGTTCCTATATGAGTATCTTCATTAAAAGTTTTGCAATTCCCCATTAGAGCAGCTTCCCAAGGTTTTCACTTACTCATTTCGGTATCTTTCTTCCTTGTTCGCATATGCGTCTCACACGTGTTGTGGTCGATCGCGACGTCGCGAGTTAAGCAGCCAGCTCTTCTCACCACCGCGACTTGCAGGCAGACAAAAATACCATTGGGTGCGTTCAGCGAATTGAGCGCTCAGCAAAACTGTTCAGTGAGTGTTTTTACTGAGCGACTAAGAACGTACTGCTACTTCAACTAATGCTTTTCTATTCATCCTAAAATGTTCCGCGAACTGGTCAGCTGTATACCGTGGCACAGTTTCTTCATAAACATTTTTTGTTCTTTCCTTTGAATTCCTATCCGTGAAAAACTTGTTATCTAGTGCAGATGGCAGAAATAAATCTGTTGGATAACCAAAAAAAATCTGAAGAATTGCCATCACTTTGAAGTAAAAATACTTTTAAACGTTCGCGATTCAGTTTTTTCGATTTACTACAGTTGACCGATCAACAGGAAGTAGCATAAAAATTTTATAGAAATTTTCTACACAAATATGTTTACTGAGCACTCAGATCGCTGAACGCACCCATTGCTTTAATAATATCGAGTTGTCGAAGAGTGCTCTCAGAGAGCAAGAATGCATATAGAGACGAGAGAAATTTTTCAAAATTTTCACATTATCTTCGGTTCACTGAGTCTCTTCTTGATTCAGTCTAAAAGAACAGACTTCAACAACAAAAAGGGTATGGAATGATTTAGGGCAGGCACCCAGATTGTATGCCCGGTCTGCATATTAAGAAGTGACTATTGGACAATGTTCTGCTGATAATTACGGCCTATAGTTCATTCTCATAAATATGGTAATCGGGACATTGATGGCAGAAAGTGGATCTCTTCGAAATTCGTTTTAATAATTTTATCTCGGATAGTTCGATATAAGTTTAACATGATTATTGTGAATATTCTTATCAACATAAAAAGCTTTGTCAAAACCGCAAATCCCGATGTTCTTTCAATTGAATTTTTTATTTTCTTGAATTCCACCGAAACTAAACTTTTACGTTTAAAAAAAATATAATTAACAACAAAAAATATAAAAACAAATTAAATTTCATTCGCTTAAGTAACGAACGATGGGAGAAAAATATTAAAAATAAAGAAAAAAATTATTTTTCTTAAAAATTCCTCGAACGTTTAGAGACAACAATACAGTTGAACAGAAAATATCGCATAAAAGTAAAAAAAAAATTTTCATCGGTAATATATTTCTATACAAGCAGTTTTGAAAATAATCGTAAATAATCATGAAATTCCTTATTTATTATAAAGCTTGAATTTGAAATTTTTTTTCACAACGGTGTGAAATCACACAATCTCGGCGACCAAGATATTTCTCTCGAAATAAAGCTATGAGCGAATCTCATGTTTTGAAGCATGTGGCACCATCTTTTTTAAATCACATATTGTCCATGTCGTGTTCTTCTATTAAAGGTCAAAAAAAGCCAGTTAGCTTACGACCAGGAGCCACAGAATTGATAGTTTCCCAGTTGTCGTTTTCAAAGAAGGACTTGCTTCACACCTCGCTCCTCGTCAATTATTTGAAGAGTCCACCGAGATCACCGAGAGACGAATTTCCTTCTCCGGCTACTGCGATGTTTGTACGGCGTTGGGAACGTTCAGCTGGCTTCAATTGTTGTGAACTTCAAAGGGGGTTTCCAATAAGACTGATTTTATTTCTATGAAAAAAAACTTGTTCTTTAGGAAATTCAAATGTTTTTTATCTTAAGGTGAAGTGCAGTCGAGCAATATATTGTATTGTAGTTCTGAATATAACATCATTCAAATGGCCTCCACGACTACTTTTGTAGAAACCAATTCGCCGAACCCAATTTTTGAGCACATTCTCTCACTAAATCAAGTCGGATGTCATGATTAGCACGTGCAATATTGACTTTTAAAGCTTGAAGGGAGTTTGGTTTATTGCTAAAGACCCACAAGAAGGAGTCTAAGAGTGTTAAATCACAATTTCCTGAAATAATAAAAAAAAACTACAATATGAGCTAAGTCAGTTCTTAAAACGATTTGAAGTAAAGTCGGCTCTGGCGAAATTTTATTTAGAAAACCTTCAGATGTAGCATCAACGCGCAGTTAAAAATTAAACTGAATACAAAGCGGTCTACAAAATTTAAATAAAATCTTCTTTTTAGACAAAATACAAATTTTTGGAAATTATCCAATAAATATATATTATAATTAATATTGTATTTTTTGCATACACATTAAATGAAATTTTTTTGAAAACCACAATTGATTTTGGTTTTATTTTTAATTTTATTTTTTTTTTTTAATTAAGCAGTATTTTTTATTATATATAAAAGTATTTCTATTAATATGATAATTTTCTTTCAAAACTAAAAAAAAAAATCGGCTGCAAAACTGCTGTACCGGCTGAGGCTGGTTGAAATACATAAATGATAATGCCTTTAAAGTGAAAAGCGTCCACAATATCAAGAGCAACATGACAAGGTCATCCTCCAACACGACAATGCTCGGCCTCACGTCGCAAAAGTGGTCAAAAAGTACCTGGAAACGCTGGAATGGGAAGTCTTGCCCCACCCGCCGTTTTCCCCAGATATCGCCCCTTCTGACTTCCACCTATTCCCTTCGATGGCACACGGCCTGGCAGATCAACATTTTCAATCCTTCGAAGAATTGGGAAAATGGATTGCTTCATGGATAGCGTCAAAAGAGGACCCCTTTTTTCGAGCCGGGATCCGAAAATTGCCGGAAAGATGGGAGAAAGTTGTCGATAGCGAAGGACAATACTTTAAATAATATATCTGTAAGCTTTTAATTTTGTAAAAAATAACGACTTTGAAGCTGTTTGAGACAATAAAAACTAATTGAAGAATTAAACGTATTGATGTCAACGGCTAAAACTGATTTGTTGTTGTTATTAAACAATAGATGATAATTCGATTTTCTTCATATTTAAATTGGAAAATGGTGTAGGAAAAAGCAATCAAATTGAATTTTTTGCAATGATTACAGCTTCTTCTTCATTTTAGTCTTCTTTCTTTGGCCCCAAAAATGTGTCACCCTGTGTACGCTACGAAAAAGAAATCATTTAGCGCAAAAACTACAACAAAACGCAAAATACAAACGTTCAGAATGAGCATTTTTTAGACCTTCCAACAAGAATAAATTCTATTCCGATAACGATAGCACAAACAAAGGATTCTAATTATACAAATTTTGTAAATAAATTAGTTTAGGCTTTTTTAAATTTTTTTTAATAAGCTCTAAAATCTGTCAAACCAAAAGTTTACTGGAAAAAAATCTTAATTAAAAAAGTATTTAATTTTTATAAACTGTCTGGATTGTGCGCATGTCGGATAGGCCTATTTCCCAGCAATATTATATCGCTGAGCATCATGTCAAAAAAAGCAATTAGAGTGGGATCTGCCTCTTAAATAACACATATAAGATACCATCAAGCGTGTTGTGTGAAAGATTAGCGTCAACAAACTGATTGGACCTGATAAATGTGGCTTTAGACCCTGTGAAAAATCTTGGAAAAGAAACCGTAAAAATAAAAAGTTGGTTCACATCACGTTTTCCTCGATTTAAAAACCGACTTCGACAGCATAAAAAGAAGCTGTCTGAATTTGGTATCCCCACAAAACGTATAAGGCTGTGCAAACGAACGTTGGACAATACCAGAAGCGCAGTCAGATTCGGGAAAGACCTCTGGATTCAGACAGAGCTGACTCTTATCTTGTGATTTCTTCGATTTGGTGCTTGAATCAATAAAAGCTGAAGCGCCAAATAGGCAAGGTACAATCTTTTATAAAAGCGTTTGTTGTATGTAGATCTTTAAAACTGTTCAGTTACAAAAAAAAATAATAGTAAATCAGCTGAAATTGAGTTATTAAAGAATTTTAAGATTTAATTGTTGAGAGAAGCAAGAATCTTTTGTTTTGATGCCAAAAAGTATGTTTGAGAGGTCGAAGGTGCTGAAATGAAAACAAAATTGTGACACAATCGGTGAAAGGGTTCCTTCAGTTCATAAAGCCACAAGCTGCCTAGGTCCACGAGTTGGAACATTAAAGTTCATTTCAGATAAGAGTCGTGAACTACAAATTGATCTGTTAAGAGTTACACTACGGTTTGCGAAAGTAGGTAGATTTAGAAGCTTTAAACGGTTGGTAGAGGGAGGAAAATTTGTAGTAGAGTTTCATGGGAAATGATTAAATGCAGGTCGGTTGTTAAGCAAGTCATTTTCATAAATGCCTGCCTTTTGGCTAAAACGAAGCCTGGTTTGACAGTTGACTCTGATATCAAAATACTGCCCAGTACTTTTGAAAGCATAAACTAGTTAGATCTATATAAGCGGTCGCCATAGCCGAGTAGCTAGCATTGCGTACTGCCATTCTCTAGAGCACGGTGCGAGTACTGATTCGACCTACAAATAAAATTATAGAAAATTAATTTTTCTAATTTCGGTCGCTCCTCGGCAGGGAATGTCAAGCTATGAGATCGTATTATTATATATATAACCGGCCCTCTGTAATCGCGGAAGCGATTTTTCACCGAGCTCCTTCTCCAATTTTTCGGATTGCGGCTTGATGTTTTTCCAACAAATGGAGGGACCTACAGTTTATGCTAAGCCGTCTCCGAATGGATAATGGTTTTTTTATGAGGAGCTTTGTTTCGTGTCGTATTGCTGACATAAAATAAAACCTTCCCATAAAAATCTCTCAGCCGTTCGGAGGTGGCTTAGTATAAATTGTAGGTCCCTCCATTTGGTGGGAAAACATCAAGACGCAAACAACAAATTGGAGGAGGAGCTGGGCCGAAGATCCCTTCAGCAGTTACAAAGCGCCTATTATAGTATAAATATATATAAATATAATATAAACGAGTATGTATGCATATAAGTCCAACGAGATAGTCACAATGTAATGCCAATCATTATTTGCAAATTTTGTATTTATAAGTATGTACATATATAAAGCTATTAAATGATGATGAGAGGATCAATTGAAGATAAACAGATATTTTTCATATACAACAAATGAAATTTAGTAAAAACATATACACCCGTATATGTATGTATATACAGTGCTAGGCGCCTAAATTGATAACTCCTAAAGTTACGTCGATAAGATTAGATAATCACCTGTGTAAGAGCCCCGATGTTATTCTTTAAATTAATTTTTTCGCATTCAATTGGTTATCACTAATTGATGGGCTTTCGTCTAGTATAGTCAAACGAACGGTTTCATAAAAAACGGTCAAAAATAAAATAAAAGTGTTTTTCAAAAAGTTCCCGAACAAAAATAAACACGGCATAAAGGATGGCGGTGCGAATATTGAGAATAGTTTTATTGGCATTATTTAGCATTTTATTACTCATATTACACAGCGCCGGTGAGTAAAGTCTAAAACATATTGCACATTTACATATATGTTAATAATATAAAAATCGGTGGACTCACCACTTCACAGCTGGCGCAACAGTTTCAGAGACGAGTTTGAATGCACCCGGTGGACGTATCATTAATGGCACTTTGGCCAGCTTAAACGCCACCAAACATCAGGTGTCCATTCGTAGACGTTCTCGTGATATTTATCTCTTCGGATCTGGTCATATTTGTGGCGGTTCGTTAATCGAGCCGAATGTTGTGCTCTCAGCGGCGCACTGTTTCGTCAAGTGAGTAATCGTCTCAAGTAAAATTATTTAAATTTGAAATTTGAAATATTTTATTCGTTTATTATTATTTCTCGTGATTTGCAGTCAAGAGCTCGATACCGGCGTTTATCGTCCGACCTCACAGTTCATTGTCGTTATGGGCACTTTGGATCGCTTCGAACGTACTCCGTATACGTTACAGTTCGATATTGAACGTATTGTTTATGGCATTAATCCATTCAATTTGGCTACATATGAAAATGACATTGCACTGTTGTTTCTAAATGGTTCCGTGCCGGCGGATCATCCCACCATACAAACAATTAAGAGAGCTACTATAGCGACGGCAGCTGGTACCGTTTGTCAGGCGACGGGTTGGGGTCAAACCGAAAAGGTAAGTGAGTTTTGTTTTTTGTTTTTGAAAGAGAGAGTCTTCAGGCACCCATCACTTCATTTTTTTAAGTAAATGTGCCAATATATGTATGTATGTGCACATCATTCCATCCTTGTCGCCTTTCAAGACTAGAGTGCATTTTCATGATTCGGCCCATTCCGTACCCCATGCCGATGTCGCCCATCGTGTCGGTTGGACGGGAGGATGGTAACCATTGGGTTTATATTAGGTCAAGTAAAAAGTTCGTTCGGTTTTTTTTTATTAATTTTTCAAAATATGATAACCTTGTGCAAATTTATCCAATTTAAGTCAAATATGCGCCGTTTTGTTTGTAAACTTGTTGCCAACGAGATGCCAACTTCATTATACGCCCCTTGTAGAAGGCTACGTCCTTCTTGCAAAAAACTCGGAGGCCTCTCTTGAGGCTAACTTCTCACCACTAAGCGCGTTCGCCATGGATAGGAAAAGATGGTAATGGTGCCAGGTCCGGACTATAAGGTGGGGGCTTTAGGACTTCCCATCTGAGCAACTGGAGCTTCTGAGGCATCGCCAAAGACGTTCTCCTGATGGAACACAATTCGGCCTCTGTTGATCAAAGATGTTCTCCTCTGGTTGAGTGCTGCCTTCACGCGGTCCATTTGTTGGAAGTGGAGGGCCGTATTGAGCGTTTGGCCATAGGTCAGCAGCACGTAGTAGATGATTCCTTGCCAATCCCACCAAACACGCAGCAAAACCTGGTGCATCTTTGACATCAAAATTACCGGAACGGAACCTAGCAACCCATTTTTGTGCTACACGTTCGTTTACAATATCGGGCGCATAAACTAAATTAATTTTTCAGCCGCTTTGGCTGCTATTTCGCCTTGATCGAAGAAAAATTTGTAAAATATAGCGAATTTTCTCTTTGCCCGTGTCCATCTTTGACGAGAGAGTTGATATGGAGCGTTGCATAGTATTTAAGACTCGTAAGAACTTTCAGAGATCGGTGTTCTTATATGAGTTCCCGAATGGCAAGGAAAGTTGTTGTTTACAAAGTGTCAGCTGTCTCTTATTATCTAACAAGCAGAAGGCTTTACTTCAGGTCCTAGACAGCTTGAAGAAGTTATAGTAAGTCCTATAGTAAAGTTACCATCTGTTATACGGATATCAACTGACTTTTCTTAGAGCATCATTCGCCTAAACGGAATGTTAAAAAGAGATTGAAACAAATGTGAAAATAAACAGTTGCAAATACCGAAGGGAATATCAACCAGTTGTAGTTATGCAAAGCTTTATCATCCCCTCTTGAAATAAATGTACTTTAGAAGTTATAATATAAGAGGTTCTTCATCATCATCTCCTGTATAATTCTGGAAATCTTAAACATTTTTATTGTGCAATAAGAGATTGGGAACCTTGTGAGTTCACTCTTAATATCACGAACCAGCTCACAACACTATTAAACAGAGTTGGAGTTCGATAGTTGCTTTCGGGTGAGGAAGCCCACTACACAAGAACGGAGACGAAGTCTCTTAGGGGAGGAGCATATCATCTAAATCTTAACCGAGGTGTTCAAAGTAGACTGCGAAGTTGATATGGAGGTGTGCTATAAGGATACTAAGAACTTTATCTATCTTTATCCGGCTGCAAGACTCATCCAGCATCTTCCAAGCGGAAATATTAGGCGCCGAAAAGACCTGTAGTGGTTTATTGAACAACTTCGAGCGGATACAATAAGTAATTATGTATATGTGCGGAAGAGGCAGACGGTATTGCTGATATTATCGCCAGGTCAACTCAAATACTCAAATGATCCATAATCTGTGTTCCCGACTACAAGCACATTATCAGTCATCAAGTAAAAAACTTTGGTCCAAAAGTTTTAATCCGCTCTCTGTTCAAGATGTTCTTCATTAATCCCTACTTAAAAACAACAAAGCAGCGCGCACCGATGGATTACTGGCCGAGCTATTCAAACAAGGCACTCAAGAGCTGACAAGGTACTTGCATCAGCTTCTTTGTAGAATATGGTCGGGGGTAAACATGCCCGTTGACTAGAATTGAAGTGGGCTCTGCCCAATCCACAAAAAGGGCGATCCCACAGTCTGCGTGAGATAAGCCTCGTTAACATCGCATACAAGGTCCTATCGAGCGCTTCGTGTGAAAGATTAAAGCCCACGGCCTGCAAACTGATTGGACCTTATCAGTGCGGCTTCAAAACCTGGTAAAGCAACCATTGACCAGATATTCACCATGCGACAAATCTTGGAAAATACCCGTGAAAAATCAACCTTCGACAGCACGAAAGGGAGCTGCCTATAAGACGATATGTCTGATTTTGGTATTCCCGCAAAACTTCTATGGCAGAGTCAGTTTGTTAGGCCTTGAACCTCTCCAAGCCGTGGGGTAACAAGCGAGGTTTCAGACAGGGTGAGTCTTTTTAGTGTGATTTCTTCAGTTTGATACTGGAGAGAATAATAAGAGCTGCGGAGCTGAATAGAGGAGGTAAAATCTTCTATTAGAGTATGCAGTTGCTGGCGTACGCAGATCATATTGACCTCAGCAACCGCGCCGTTAATTCTGCTTTCTCCAGGCTTGATAAAGAAGCGAGGCGAATGGGTCTGGTAGTGAACGAGGACAAGACGAAATATCTCCTGTGATCAAACATTCATGACTTGACTCCCACGTCACGGTTTACAGTCATAACTTTGAAGTCGTAGATAATTTCGTCTACCTAGGAACCAGCATCAATACAAACAATAATGTCAGTCTGGAAATCCAGCACAGGAATCACTCTCGCCAACAGGTGCTACTTTGAACTGAGTGGCAATTGGAAAGTAAAGTCCTCTCCCGACGAACGGAAACCAAACTCTACAAGTCCCTCATCGTTCCCGTTCTGCTGTATGGTGCGCAAGCATGGACGATGACAGTATCTGATGAAACGGCGTTAGGAGTTTTCGAGAGAAAGATTTTCGGTAAGATTTATGGCCCTCTACGAGTTTGTAACGATTGAATTGTACGAGTTAACCGGCGACATTGACATAGTTCAGCAAATCAAAAGACAGCGGTTGCGCTGGCTAGGTCATTTGGTTTGTATGGATAAGAATACTCCAGCTTTGAAAATTTTCGATGCAGTTCCCGCAGGTGGAAGCAGAGGAAGAGGAAGACCTCCACTCCGTTGGAAAGACCAGTTAGAGAAGGACCTGGCTGTACTTGGTATTTCCAATTGGCGCAAAAAAGCGAAAGGAAGAAACGAATGACGCAATGTTGTTAACTCGGCTATAATCGCGTTAGTGGTCTCTCTCTCTCGGTGGCCGCAATAGCCAAAATGCTAGAAAACTATCGAGATGCAAACTACAAATTGGGGTAAGCGCTCGACCGAAAATCGCGTCAGCGGTTACCAAGCGTCAACTATATTATATACATATATACATTTATATATCACAATCTCTCTGATTGCCGATAAGAGACGACGCTTTGAATATTTATCAATATAAAATGCCGGAAACACATTTGCAAAGAGGTTATGACAAGCAAGTGCCAGTAATTATCTTTATAATCATAATTAATGTGTAGGTATGCACGGGTCCATCTTTTCCATCACTTCCAATTATTGTCATACCGTTATATTGTCTGATAAATCTCATATACAGCCAACCATGAATTGTAAATTCATTTCCGATTTTTATTTATTTTTTTTGTTATCTTATAATTATTATCTATTTCTTACTTTCTCTTTCCAGGGAATTCTAGCCCAAAATTTGTTATCTGTCGATTTGCCCATAATCGGCTACAATCAGTGTACGACAGATACCGATTTCGCCTCGGGCCTCATACGTCAAGGTATGATTTGCGCCGGATATATGAGGGGTGAACGTGATGCTTGCGCTGGTGATTCGGGCGGTCCGCTGGTGTGTAACAAATCGCTCACGGGTATTGTCTCTTGGGGTATTGAGTGTGCTTTGCCACGCTTGCCCGGTGTTTATACAGATGTCGCCTATTATTCCGATTGGATTGCTAATGCTGTGCAGGGCAATGGTGATAATGCGCGTGTAAATAACACGCAAACGGGTAATAGTACGGGAACCGGCAATAATACGCGACCTGGGAACAGCACTGGCAGTGGCGGCAGTGGCGGTAGTGGGGGTAGCGGGGGTGGTGGTGGTGGCGCTATGTCGAGCTTCTCCCACTCGGCTGTGTTGTTGGTGTTGGCTGTCGCCTGGACTACACTCATGAGCTATTTAAATTGAAATTATCATTTTTGTTATTCGCTCTTGATGTGAACTTTTAGGATATTCAGTATTTTATTTTACTCTAAATTGTTAATAAATGAGATTTTGTTTGTTGGATCAAAGTATTTGAAATGATTTTTATTTTAATTCTAAAGAAGGGTCGATATCAAGTACATTCCCACTGATGGGCAAATTCTGAAGATGCTTTAAAGTTTAATGGCACCAGCGGAACAATGGAACAATCGATTTTCCCAGGCTTCTCTTTCACCAGCCAAATCATTCGTCATCGACAGGAACAGATGGTAATCACTTAATGTGGACTATAAGGAGGGACATAAGAACCTCCCAACCAAGCTGTCTAGTGAGTCACAATCGATGTGTGTGGTCTGGAGTGGTCCTGCTGAAACACAATTCCCTTCCTGTGGGACAAAGCTTGCCGCTTCTGTGCGACTTCTTCTTCCTTCAGACAGTCCTATTGCTGAAAGTAAAGGTCTAAATAAGGAGCTTGTGCGGAGAGCAGGTAAAACAAAACCTTCCTGGCCGTCAATCCTTGCTTGGAGACTGTTTGCCCTGGCTCACTGCTCATGCTTACTTTTGTTCAATAAAGCATGTTTTTTAAACGTGTGATTTTCAATGAGGTTTAACTTACTCAGACTTACTCCGGAATATAATGGTTTGGTTCGTGAAACGCATGGGCCGCTCTGCTCAGTATCTGATCGATATATTCGCGCAGCAGAGTCGGTAAATGGAGAAACCATGCTTCGGTTTCCTACCACATTTACTCTGATGGATAATGCGCATCCCCATAAAGGCCGTACAATGCATCCTACTGTGGGACAGTGTACCGAAGAAGAGCTGCGTCCATCCTTTTCATGGAAGATTTTTAGTAAGGATCTTACTTTGCAGAGTCGCAAAATCCAACTCGTGCAATAATTGAAGGCGAACGATCATCAAACCACATGTCTACAAAATGACCTTTTATATTCAGTCTATTTTATTCCTCTTCTTCTTTGCCGTGCGCAGCTGCTGTCTTTTGATTCCCTGATTTATGTCAATATCGCTCATACAGCTCATCATTAATTCAATATTCGATAGTCGTAACGGGCCATAAATCTTACGCAAAGCCTTTCTACCGATAACTCCTAACGCCGCCTCATCAGATGTTGTCATCGTCCATGCTTCCGCACCAAATAGTCGGCGAAAGAAGACTTCACTTTCAAATCTGTACCCAGTCCAAAGAAGCGCCTGCTCGCAAAAGTGTTTCTGTGTTGGATTTCAAGGCTGAGTTGTTGTTGTTCTTAATGCTGTTCCGAGATAGACGGCTTCAAAGTGTTCACAGTGTCGTGGGAGTTGAAGCACTTGCGATGACTACTGTTTGGGTGACGTGATATATTTCGTCTTATCCTCGTTCAAAACCTGATCAACTCGCCTCGCCCACCTTTCCAGTGTAGAGAAGGCAGAACCAAAGCCAATAGTGGCAATATGATCTGGATAGCCAAGCACGTATAAAAAATTGTACCTCCTCTGGCTAGCACTGCAGCTCGTATTATGCTCTCCAGCATTGAATTAAAAAAGTCTTACGAACCGCTCGATGGTGACCTTCCCAATTCGAACAGAGTATTTGATGTTGATGGACGTCAGCTTATACAGTTAGGCGATTATCATCATCTCACGGCTCTTTTTTTTAAATTGACACATGACGTCACTGAAGTAACACTGATAAGATCCAATCAGTTCGTTTACGGTGGATTCCAGTCGGTGAAACCTTACATGCGATATTGAGGTGGCTTATCACACGGCAATTCAGGTAAAATGTGGAGCCGCTCCGGTTCGAATCATCGGACATGCTTTGTTCCGATTCTATTCTGCTACATATTGCCTTGCCTTTATACAGACGTCGTTTAATATTCTGTATGGATCGATTATGCTATCTGGTATTATGCTGAAACGAGTAAAAATACAATAGTACTGGTCGCGATATGGCATCGGTGTTTACGGGAGCTGGGATGGTGATATGTGATTAAATTTATGTAATAAATCTTAATGCGATTTATTAGAAAAAAAAGTTGTTTATTTAAATTTGCTCTTGTGATGTGTGAACTTTGCAGGTTTTTGAATGAATAATTAATTCTCACACGTACATATACATTTTCCATGGTTTAATTCATTTAAAAATAATTTAAAATAATTTTAATTAAATTAAAAAAATGTTTAAAAAAATTTATAAATCAATTTGTTTTACTTTTGTTAGTCAAGTAATAAAATTCATATTCTTATAAGATCTCTGCCGCACTCTAGCCGAGATCCGCACCACATGCCCCGAAAGCACAGATTCTCACCGGTGCTTACAGCAGCATCTACATCTGGCTGCAGCAAATTAGTGGAGATCAAAACCTATTTTGGCTCCAGCCAAAGTTCTCTGCACGCGTACATAATAACCAACATAATCAGACAGAGAATTTACAATATTATTATTATTATTCTAAGTTTCCTGATTGGTCCAGAAAAAAATTCTTATCTCCCATACAATAGATCTTTGATTTCTAAGCGTTTTGTGGATTTAATTTAAATTTGAGGTTAGTATCTTGTGTTCGATTCCATACTTTGTCTTCCTTACTAGTATTTTTATGTTTTAATTGTTCACTCACTCGGCGTGGTTTTAAACTTTTGATACACTCTGTTCCAGTGCCAAGCTTGTCTTTAGATTTTGTATAGCAACGGAAGCCGAGTGGTCGGAAGTCCTCGCTGTGATGCTTGAGATTAATGGTTCGAGTCTCACTGTAGGCTAAATAATTTTTAATTTAATTTCCACAAAGCTCACTGCCTATAGCAGTAAATGAACTAGTATTTAACTAGTATAGAGCTGATGCTAAATATACCAGTTAGTAACCTTTTTTAAAATGTTGGAAGACTACAACTACAACTACATAGTAGCCTTCCAAGTAACAACTGGTATCTAACTCTGCACAGTTATTGCCAATAATAATAAATACTGATTATAATTTATTGCAGCAGACAACTGAAATTTATTTATAGTTAAAACGTAAATGGATTTGGTTTAGCTAAGTTATTGGTATTGCCATATAAACTAATAACTCAATATCAAACTTGTTTTTATGATTGTGAATTTATGATTTATGTGGTTGAATTCAATATCTAGGAATAATAGTAATAATAGTAGTAATAGTAATAACAGTAGTAACAGTAGTAATGCTGTTAGGGCGGAAAACAAGGCCAATTAGTGGATCTACTTTTTTCTGTTCAAAATCAACTCCCATAACAACTTGCACTTGTTTTGTGAATTATCAGAAATTTGTTCATATGTTTTATTCAAAATCATACAACAACTAAAACAATGCGATTCTAATCTTTATAATATTTATTAATCTAATTTTGTTTTTCTTCTTATTTACTTACTTAGTAAAGGGTTATTCCTTTCGTGGTTTTTAAAGTTGGGTTGTACTTTGATATCTGTCAAACAAAACATGTTTTGTTTTAGCTAAAGATCAGACATTTATGAAAACAGATCGCGTAACAACCGCAAGTCGCAACAAAAATGGTTATTCAAAAGGACCACGATTCGCGCTTTGAGAGGAGATTATGGTGACCGTAATCGGGCAATAACTCAAGCAATTGGTAAAATTAAAAAAAAAACCTGGAAAGATAGGATCGATTATAGATATTATTTGTTCCTCCTCAAATATCGCCACATTGAGTTAAGTGTAGACCTAAAGGTATATATTTCTCGATGTTCTTAAGAGCTGGGACTTTCTTATGGCGTATTTTGCACTTGGACTTACATCTACATCCATATAAGGCCCAGCTCACATTAGAACCGAAGTCAGCTGACAACTCACAATGCCGTACACACGGTTGGGTGCTTAAGCAACAAGCAGTGGACGGTGGTTTTTCGAAAAAAAAGAAATTTTTTCGGCGACAAGCCACACTTCTCTCTAGAGGGATACCTCAACAAGCAAAATTGGCGCATTGGGGGTCGCTATTACAGGGAAAAAAATTGCTGTCTTGTGCGCTCTTTGATCCGGAGGTGTGTTTGGGCCTTAATTCTTTAAAAACGACAACAGCCATATTCTTCCGGGCCGCGTAATCTCCCGCCTTGGCGATGTCAATTGGTCACTTACATCGTGCTAATTGACACCGTTGAAATCTTTTGTGGAGATACGTGAAAGACCGAGTTCAGGGAAATAAACCTTTAATTCTTGAACACTTTAAAACCGAAATCCGTCAAGTTATGGCTTGATATCGCCCAATATGTCCCAAAAAGTGATCGCAAATTACGTCAAATGAAACAAAGTTTACAAAAATTCGCAAGACGGGCATTTAAATGATGTAGATTTTCACTATAAAGCCAAGATTTCAACTTTATAATTTCAATGAAAAATTTAATGAAAAAAAAATATTTTAAAATTTATTTACGTTTAATTTCGATACCGCAAAATGCCGAGCTCTTGCCTCGCTGCTGGCGGTAGAATTCGTATAATAAAATAGGTCCAGATGTTTATCAAGATACTAAAATACTGATAAGAGTGTTTCATGGACTCACACGAAGAAATTGTTCTTCTTCATTGGCGTAGGCGCCGCTTTCGCGATTATAGCCGAATCAACAATAGCGCGTAATTTATTACTTTTCTTCGCCGTTTGGCAGCAGTTGGAAATACTAAGTGATATCAGGTCATTCTCCACCTGATCCTTGCAGCTTTCTTCTTCTTCCTCTGCTTCCACCGAATACTTTCAAGAAGAAATTACTAAACAAATAAGGTTAGGCCACCAAGCAAACAAATTAAAAAAAAATACTTGGTGAGTCATTCCTCGCGTCACCACAGGTGCCTAGTATAGTACATAAAGATTCTTGGATCGTATATATTCCATTCTTCCTTGTCTTCTTTGCACACAAATAACCTGTTCTGCAGATTTCTGCACTGTTGGTCTCAATATAAGTTTGAAAAATTAACACAAAATATGGAGAAGACAATCCGCATTCATCGATGAGTGCATGCCTGATGATTGGACCCCAAGTATGCGAGCCTCAATCCACAAACCAACTCAATCTTCCATATCCCATACAAGATCGTAAAGAGTGTACGAGTTTTAGTGTTCCACTAAAGCTCACCTACAAAGGACCTTATCAGTGTGACTTTTGAAAAATCTAACACTGATCGATATTCATCATTCAAAAAATCTTTGAGAAGACTCGTGAAAAGAGGATCAACACACTTTACAATGTCGCGATTTCAATGTTACCTGACATCACGAAAAAGAGTTGTTTGAACGTGGCTTTGTTTAAGTTTGGTAAACTTTTTTTATACCTGAAGCACAGTCAGAATTGGAAAGAACATTCCAAGCCCTTCGATACTAAATAAGTTTTGGGACAAGGCAACTCGAAGAAAGTAATAAGAGCTGCTATGCATATGGATTAGAGCTAGCTTTCTAGAGAAAGGTGTTGCCAACGCTTATGAGAATTTCGCGCATTGGTAACAAGCGAATACTCTAGACGATGGAACGATGAGCTGTACGAGGTATATGTCGGCATAGACTTAGTTCCATGAAATGAGAGAAAGCGGCTCGGCTGGCTCAGCATTATATTCGTGTATATAAGGGAAGAGGAAGACCTCCACAACGTAGGAAAGATCAGGTGGAGAAGGACCTGCTTCTCTAGGTGTTTTCAATTGGCGTCGAACGGCAAGGAGCAGAAGTTATTGTTGTAATCGACAATGTCAATTAAGACTTAGGAAAAGGATAATTTATATATACAATAAAAATATTTATCTATATATATGTATTTGTATTATGAGGTAAAATGCTCTAATTGGAGTAATTAAAAAAAGAAATTAAAACTGATGAATGAATACTGATAAGAATCCATGACCTTTGACAGTAGCAGAGAAAATATAAATAAATAAACAAAAAAAAAAAATTAAAAACAAATTAAACTCATAAAGCAAAAATAAGCGCTGTAAATAGCGACAACACGCGCGCCGCAGCAGAAGTGATCAAAACAAAAATGAAAATGAAAAATAATAAAAACAAAAACAGCAGCAAGTTTAGGTAAAACAGATGGCGCGATACGCTACATATCCCACAGATACGATAATAGATAAGTGAGTATATGTATATGTATGTACAATGTACATTAATTCGGAAATTAATCTATGCGCACACGCGTTGCCAAAATATCCAGCGAAAGAGTTAGACAAAAATTTATGCATACAATTTAGCACTCGCAAATGACGCTGTGAATATAAATTCTTTTTTTGAATGAAGAACGTACAGATATTTGTTGGTAAAATACAGATACATATGTACAATCACTCTAATTGTACTTGAACATTATTTGTAGTATTAAAGTAGTTCTTGTATATCATACCGAATTCCCGATAGTAGGGTGAACCAAAATATAATAAAGAAAAAGAAAAAAAATAATAATAAACAAATCTTCAATACGGCTTTATCAGTTTTTTATACGATTAGCAAAAATATTTGCCGTTATCAGTAAACACAAAATATAACAACAATATCTTGTTAACAAACGACAGCTTAGAACATAACAAATAACAACAATAAAAACCAAAACATAAATAACACTGGGGTCGGTCAAAAATAAAGTTGATTTCGTCGCTTTTCTATGCGCAGTAGAATTAAAAAGCAGGAGCGGATTTAGGAAATTGTGGTAAAATAAAAAAATTAAATTGAAATTAAATTTATTACATCATAAAATCAATTTTAAAACTTAAAAAATACAAAACAAACTAATGAAAATAAAAAGAATTCAAGAAGAAAATATTTCAACTACAAAAATAATATCAAATTAAATAATAAAACAAAACAAAATAAAATAAACTAATGAACCATTTCGAATGAAATATTATAAGTAAAAAATGAAAAAAAAGACAAAATAAAAAAAAAAGAAAAAAAAGAAAACCATTTCAAAATTAATCAAAAAGCAATAAAACAAAGAAAAAAATTAAAAAAATAAAATAAAAACAAAATAATATAAAAAGTAAAAAAAATAACATGAAAAAAATTAATTAAACGAAATAAAACATAACAATATTTAAAGTAGAAAACAAAAATAAACTGAAAAAAATGAAAGTAAATGAAATGAAATAAATTTAATCAATATAAAAATCATTTGAACAAAAAAATACAAAAAAAAAAACAAAACAATCAAAACATAAGATGAAATATAATAAAACAAATACAGAGATAATAAATAAATTTAAACTAAATTAATTAATTTTATTAGAATAAAATAACATACAAAATACAAATAAAATAATATAAAATATGATATAATAAAATAAAATAAAAAATAATAATTTAACATAAAATAAAATAAAATGAAATGAAATCAAATGAAAAAATAAAACCAAAATAAAATATAACAAATAAAAAAGAATGAAATAACGTCAAAAAAAATTTTTGATTAAAATAAATTAAATGAAACAAAATTTACCCAAAAAAAGAAAAAATAGGAAAATAAAATAAAGAAATTAAACAAAATAAAACAAATCAATATAAAGTGAATTAAAATAAAATAAAATGCAAAGAAAAATAAAACACAATAAATGAAATGAAATAAATTAAAGCAAAATTGAAATCAACTAAATTGAATTAAATAAAAAAGTTCAATCAAATAAAATATATAAAATTAAATAACATAAACGGATATAAAATTACATAAAATAAAAGGTATTCAATTAAATCGAGCTAAATTAATTAATTTTAAAAAATAAAATAAACTAAATAATAATATAATAATAAAAATAAAAACATACAGAAAATCAAATCAAAATCAAAAGAAGAAAAAGAAGAAAAAAATAAACCAAAAATGTAAAATAAAATAAAGAAATGAAATGAAAAAAATAAAATAGAATAAAAAACTAAAATAAAACAAAAAAAAAATAAAGTAAAAAAAAATAAAATGAAATAAAATCAAATAAAAAAAAATATAACGAAAAAAAGATAGAAATAATATCAAGTATATAATTAAAGTTAAAATAAATCAAAATATTAAATTAAATAAAGAAAATAAAATCAAATCAAATCAAGTGATAAAAATAGAAAATAAAATTAAACAAAATAATTAAAATCAAATAAAATAATATAAAGAAATGAAATAAAACAATATAAAATAAGACAAAATAAAAAAATTAAATTAAATTAAAAAAGAAAAAAAAGAAAAATAAAATAAACAATACTAAAAGGTAAAATAAGAAAAAACAAAACAAAAATTAAAAATTAAAATAAAATAAAATGAAACAAAACAATAAAAATTTAATTAAATATAATAAAAATATGAAATGAAATATTAAAAGTTAAATAAAATTAAAAAAAAAAACGAAATACGTTAAAATAAATTTTATTAAATAAAATAGTGTGAAATGAAATAAAGTATAATAAAATAAAATAAATTAAATTGATCAAATATAACGCTAAATAAAATAAATTATAAGAAAATAAAATTAATTGACGCAAAACCGAAATAAAAAATAATAAAATTAAATTAAATTAAATTAAATTAAACAAAATAAAATTTTATTTAATTAAAGAAAGTAAAATCAAACAAATTAAAATAAAATTAATTAAATTAAAATATATAGGAATGAAATATATTAAATTAATTTAATTAGCTAAAATAAAACAATTTTAAATAAAATAAATTAATTTAAACTGAATGAATGAAATAAAATACAACAAAATAAAACTAAAATAAAGTAAAATTAATTAATAATAAATAATAAATAAATTAAATTTGAATCTCCTTTGAACTTTTGATGTGCCTTCATTAGTTTTCGTTAAATCCGCTCGTTATAAATTGTTATTTAATTAAAGAAAGTAAAATGAAACAAAATAAAATCATATATGTAAAAATAAAATAAATAGTAATAAAATAATTATTAATAATTAACTAAAATAAAACAATATTAAATAAAATAATTTAATTTAAATTGAGTGAACGAAATAAAATGTAACAAAATAAAATTAAAATTAAATAAAATGAAATAAATAAAGGAATTTGTATCTCCTTTGAACTTTTGATGGGCCTTGATTAGTTTTCGTTAAATCCGCTCATTATACTCGTATATATGTATTCAAACATAAAATGATATATGTATACTCACTACATTCTACATTCCTACTTATGTATGTATGTACGTAGGTATATAAGTTTCTAGCAACTTATGGGCTCAAATGCTGCTAAAAGCAAACCAATATCGTTGTCATCGTCGTTTGTTGCTGACATTTTAGAATTTCAATCGCGAATAAGCGCTGCTACAAAGCGGAACATCGATTGGGTTGGAGAGCTCTGTACTCTGTGTAGTACACATAAAGAGGCAAGCGGCGAAATAGCAGATTACCGGTGATTTTGATGTAAAAGCCGTGCAAAGTTTTGAAAATCAATCAAACATACACACACACACATATATACAAGAAACAAAATGCATCGCCTTGAAAGTTTTAAAAAACTTGTGAAAATTTTCATTTTAGCATTTCTATGCAATGAAATGCATTCAGGTGAGTTGGGTGAAGAAGTGCAAAGTAATAATGAAAAGAAAAAAAAAACAAAAAAAAAACAGAAAAAACGAACTGAATATCAACAAAAAGCCATACACATGTGTTCACTACTTTAAAAAGAAATTTGTTGGTGTTTTCGTGTTGGCAATTGGTTTTAAATATTACATATATATATGTATGTATGTATGTATGTAAATGCGTGTGTGAAATAAAGTGGCGATTTGAAATTGTAGAGCCAGCTAATGGCAAATGGAATCAGCTAAATTACAGCATAAAGCAAAAAAAAAAAAAGAAACAAGAATTGCGGTTGATAAATCGGTGGGGTGTGTGTGTTTGCGTGTTGAAATGGCAAGGGTTAATAGCCGAAAGGTGTTTGGAGTCTTTTGCATTTTTGCTTTTTTTTTTTTGTTTGCTGTATTAATGAGCTGCGCTTGGTTTTGGTTTAATTTACTCCATTTCAGCTGATTGAATTTCTCAATGCACTTTGTCACGCGTTAAAAATTTATATTCCTCTCTATGTGTGTTAACTATACTTTTGGCATAACAATGCGAAAAAGAGAATAGCGGATTTTTGAATATTTAATGAGAGTTAATTTCGTTTTAATAACTACATAAACTACCTGAATTTGTTATTTTTATTTAATGGAAATTAGAAAATAATAATTTAAAAATTAAATAAGATCCCAAGTCCAATAACTATTTTTATAATCGAAAAAAAAAAATAATTTGTATTATAATTATTATTTATATTTTTATTGAGTTCAATTACATTATTTTCGCAATGATATCTCATAAAAAACATGTATAAATAAGGTGCAAAAAAATTGAAATTTAAATAAAAAAAAATTTTTCTCTTAAATTGACTTAAATGCTTTTTCCAAAAAACGTTATTGAAGTTATGAGTAAGAATATCGTACCATTTTCCATAAGAAACAGAGCAGTTAGCTCATTACGATAATAAACTAATAATGATAATAGCAACATTACAACAACAATAATTTAGTATACACTTTTCTGCATATTCATTCATATATATATACAAACATGTGTACCTTTCTGAGTACATTTACTGGTAGCCACCAGCTGGGTGTATATTAATTTAAATGTTTTTAAAGCATTAAATTTAAAAATTTATATTTTTACGTACACATTTTTTAAGGTCAATAGTTTAAATAGAGCAACGAAAAAAAAACTTAGCATCGTTGGTGAGCACTGATTTCAATGCTATTGTTGCTATGAGTATAATATGCAAATATTAGAATTTCATTTGAAATCAGATTCGCGTGTTAGGGTGGGCCTTATTAAAAGTTATATCGGCCGCTTGAAGATATTAAATATATATTTTTTTTGGTAATAAATAACTTTTGATTAAATTAATTTAATTTAAATTATTTAACTTTCAAAAAAAATAATAATAACAATAAAAAATAATAATAAAATTATTTAAATTATAATAATAATTTCGAATTTTTAAAATTAATGATGTTTAAAAAATTAGCTCATTCGACAATAATAAGAAATATTTTCTTTTACCGTTATATTTTTTTAACTTTTGATTGGGATTTTTTTTTTTATTTTTATAAAATTAATTTAATTTAAATAACTTAATTTATCTAAAATTTTGTTATTACTTAATACGAAAAAGATAGGTTTTGAATTTTGTTTAAAAAATTAGTCAAATATTGTGTTTTACCATTTTCAAAGCAAAAAAGTGTAAAAACATTAAATAAAATTTTTATTAAAATTTTTAAATTTATTTTATTTTAATATAATTTTTTGCTTAAGATTAGTTGCAATTTTTTAATTTTTTTTTTAATTTTTTTTTAATTTTTTATTTGTTTCTTTTTTTAATTTTTATTTTTTTTTTATTTTTTTTTTTTTAACTCCAAAAAAAAAATCCAAGGTTAGGTAAATTTTTTATAACCTATGTGCGCTATTGAAAAAAAATTAATTGAGCTCAAATTATATTGTAACATTAAAAATATACATAAATATTTATATCAAATTAAAAAAAAATAGGATTATTGTTAATAATTGTGGGACATTATTAAAAAAATATACATATATTTAGATTTTTTAATTGTTTATATAATTCCTGTATTCATACAGCACATAGCTAATTAAAGTTTCTGCTCGAAAACCAAATCTATATATGTGTGTATGTTAATAAGCAGTAATTGCAGTAATATAATCCGATTACATATGTATGTACATATACACGCATATAGTATAATGGAGAAATTTTTATAAAAATATGCCAGAAATGGTTATGGTGTGATGCTTTCATTCCGAAGTCCATAGAAAAACAAGTGTTTATTACAGTATTTTGCAATTAAAATATTTTAATTCTATAAAAAACTAAAAAAAAAATATATATATATATAAATTATTTCAATAAAAACAAGTTTCTTAAAAGATTTTTCTGACATTGCAAACGTTTTTTTCTGATATTTAAAAAGCGTATGCAGGTACTGAATGTAATTTTCTTTCAATTTCTAAAAGATATTTATTCATAACTGAAGCAAATCTTCAGGTTAATTCAATAAAACATTCAAGTTCGGGTTTATTGTTGCCTTTTTCTGCTTTCGTTAGCCTATAATTTGATAACCGGCATTCCCATAGTTGGTAAGCTGTGTACGTCATCCATACTTAAGTATGCAAACACACCTACACTCGCAGTTGTCAAGTTTATTATCAAGGTTAGTGGTGCCAAAATAAATGTTTTAAAGTATAAAAAAAAAAAAATTCAAAAAAAAAAAAGCTTTATCACTATCAAGTTGTTTACGTTGCTGTAGGCTTATCATTCCTAGGGGTGTACATTATGGGTGGTTGGTAATGATTTTTCGCGAAAAGTCGCACTTACATACTTGAGATATGTATATTTTCAGTTGAAATATATAAGACAAATGTTTAGGGAACAAATTTTTATTATTGTACCCATTCTCAGTCGGGACGATTTTTCCCTTTCGAAATACCAGACTTTTTCAAACGTAACATTTTTCAAATTACCAAAGCTGATAAGGGATCGTCCAATAAAATGGTCAGTACATCATTGATTATTTTTTTTTTTTTTTTTGTTAATTTAAACCGTGTTTTTCCCATTCGTTACGTCCTTACTCACAGCACTAATAACACAGAATAAAATATATATTGCACGGTGGCAGTGCCACGAGCCCTTTTTATATAATGAAGAGAATATCCCAAGGAGATCTATGCTCCATGTGATAGTTAAGCGGTATTCTCCTTTCGGAGATGTTCTGCTGCGATCGGCGACAGTCCACCACACTTTCGATGTTTAACCTAAACGAATTAAGCGCTTTACTTGCTGTCTACCTGCCGCTACGGATAAAAATATACCTGTCTTTAATATTGTTTTAGTTCCTCCAAGTGAGCAAAGTTATTCGCCATAACTCAGCAGTCTGGCTCAAAGTTCTGTTCAGAGTTCAGAGTTCAGAGAATGATTTCGAGAGAACCGTTGGTGGGAGTTCGCTCTCCTCAAATTTTTAACCTTCGGTAAGTATTTCCACGCTACCAATAGATAAGAGATAATTATTGATCCATCTCTCGGTGTACTGAAGTTGTTTCCGGATAATGACAACGGTCTGAAGCAAGGCGGTATGTGAAGCTTGGTATGAAAGTGTATCCTCCAAAAATTTACTCAATAGTTGGTTTCCTGCCTTAAATGTTGGGCTTGACTGCCTTAAATGTTGGGCGGCTAATGCTGCCGACTGATACGAATATATCATCAAGTCCAATATTGTGATGTTTTTCTTCTTGTTTTTCAAACAAATCTTTGTAAACTTTTGGTAAGCACTCTTCGGTGTACCATTTTGCAGTTACCGTCTGACCCTTTTCCAGTGGATTAGCAGCTACGATTTTAGATCGGGTGAAGTAAACTGGCCTCAATACTTTTGATACTGATTTTTGTTGCTTAGATTTTACGGGTGGTTTTGCCACCATGGACTGCTGTTTGGTTTCTGGATCGTTTTTAAAGAACCAAGATTCGTTACCAGTAACGACTTTACTAAAGTTGCTAGACTGAACTTTTTCGAATTTGTTAATGAAAAATTGTGCAAAATGCACTCGAGCCTCACCCATCGAGCAGACTTCTTCGAATTTTCCAGATGATTACTTAATATTCCTGACCCAGCCATGGCATTCAACCCCAATTCATTAGCAATCATTTCTTGTGCCAATCGTGGGGCTTCGTCAAATTTGCACAGAGCTACTGTGACGTCATCAGTAGAAGATTTAAATCGACCTTCTCGGGGCTCGTCCTCTACCGAAAAATACCAGTTTGGAATCTTCGGAACCAATTAGAAATAGTATTTAAAGACGATGCAATCGTTCTGTATGCAATTTGGCATTCACTGAATGTTTATATTGGCGGTAAATTACGCCAAAACCCGAAGAGAATCAGATGGCGAATTTCTGTTTACGTTGGTGGTGGAATTTCGTCTGACTTATCCTCAGCTATCTTGCGATTTTTCGTCTCCATTTTAGCCGATCGTTCTAAAATTTGAAAGGAAGACTATTAAAGTAATTGCAAAGGATTTGGTATTTTTAGATTTAACAAAATCAAATTAAAAGTCACCAACTGACCAAACTTGTGTTAGCTCTGGTAACATAGTGCATATGACAAATTTTTCAGTTTAAAGATTTCGGATCATAAATTTGTCAAAAAAGCTTCTACGAGCGTAAAATTTGGTATTTTGCATATGTATGGTATATGGAATATGTGTAGAGCTGAAAATGATCGGAATCGGAACACCATAAGGCATTGCCGATTTTTTCAAGTATGAGGTTTTGTCCAAAATACCTTTAAATGCACATCTACAAGCTTTGGCTTGGGTATTCTTAACACATATGCACAAATAAATATTGTCAAAGAAATTCATTGAAATCGGTAAAGCATATCAAACAACCACCCGCGACCGATTTTTCAGATATGAAATTTATTATGTAATCCCAAAAAGAAATAACATGAATTAGCTATGATCATGAAAGGTATAAGGACTTCGCCAAGGCATGCAGACAGCGCTCCCTTCTTGCTTTCAATTAATTTTCAAATTTGCATATGGACACCCCTAATAGGCACCACCATATAATTGCAGCAGTTTGCATTTAACAGTAATGATGAGAAATTTTAACATTTTTTGTTTGTTTTTTATGCGCACAAATACATGTATAAATGTAGTATATAAATATATAAATATATATATATTTGTATATCAGAAATATTGGCCCAGTAACCAAATTTAGCAACAAGCGACAGCTTACGCTTGCGTTTTTCTGCAATAAAATTATAAATTATCATAAAATCAAGCATTTAAAGTGTTTAAATCGAGCGCATTATCGAGCTTATCAGTTTGTGGAAGTTTTCAAATCAATGGTATAAATACAAATAGACATATCCACATTCATATATACTTAAAATATGTATATATGTATGTATGTTTTATGCACATACACGTTCACAAAAAAACTATTGCAAAATCATTTATCGCCAGGCGACACGTGCTGCTCGTTTAGTTTAAAAAAATTTCTTTTATAGCTCAACGGTGTTTACGTGCTTATTAAAGCGTAGCAAAGCAGGGTATAATTAAATAAATTATAATAATTTTTCTTTATAATTATTTTTTTTTTTTATAAAATATTTCTCTTGAATATTATTTTCCTCCATGCAAATTATCATAATTTTTTGCTCTTCTCAACCGCCAGGCTTCACGCAATCGAATGCCGCCGAACACCATTATCCCAGCAGCATAAATGGCAGCGAGGCAACGTGGGAGCATGCGCGCTATCAGGCCAGCATACGCCTGGCCCTAGAGGATTATGTGTTTGGTGAGGGGCACATATGCGGCGGTGCGGTGATCGCGCCCTCCGTTGTGCTTACCGTAGCTCAATGTGTACACAAGTAAGTTCATGCGACGAGCGCATGCTAAGTATAAAACAAACGCTTACATGCGTACTTACATACATACATAAATACATGCGAGTATGTACAATATATCGGTGGCATGTGCAGACTTCTTTCTTTTCTTTTTTGTTGTGGAAATATACCACTTTTCTTATCAATCCATTGATTGTAAAACTATTTCTATGTTTATCTATATATGTATATATAAATATATTTACATTCACTAGACATTTGTATTTATTTATGGTATTTATGCAGTTACCAGACCCAGACGTCGCGTCACCCAGCTGAATTGAAAGTGGTCATGGGTACATTGAATCGTTATCAACGCAACGAGCATACTTTGGTCTTTGGTGTGACACACGTTCATCGTCCGAAAACTTTCAACGCACACACTCTGCGTGATAATATAGCGATCATAATGTTAGAACGTGATATCCCACCCACGCATCCAACTGTGAAACCGATTAATCTGAGTATATCTGCCTACTATGGCGCTAAAGTGGAGGAGGAGGCACCACTGGAGGATGCTTTGCGTCGGAATACTTATGTGGTGACCAGCTGGTTCGTTACGGAGGAGGTGAGTGTGAAAGAATGGTCTTCCTTTAACTAATTTTTAGGAAGTCTGGCGGGAGTGAAAGATCTTGGAAAAAGAATAAGGAGGAGAGGGTAAAATGGTCGTGGTGGGTCCTGATTTGAATTTGGAAAATGTGTATTCTGTTCGCTGCGGCCGCTGTAGCCGAGTGGTTAGTATTGCGTACTGCCATCCCGCAGCGACCAACATCCAAAAGTTATCGAAAATTTATTTAAATAAAAAATTGAGTTAAATTTTCTAATTTCGGTCACCCTCGGCAGCGGCTGTCCACCCCTCCGGGTGTTTTTCGGGCATGAAATAAAGCTCTTCGTAAAAAAACAATCAGCCGTTCGGAGGCGGCTTAGTATAAACTGTAGGTCCCTGCATTTGTTGGAAAACATCACAATGCACACCACAAATTGGAGTATGAGTCCGACAGAAATTTCTTCAGCAATCCTGACTGTGGACATTAAGTTTAGCTTTTGAGTTAGAGTGATAAGTGCCCTGCCCGCTTAACAGATTTACAAAAAAAGTCTCTTAGCATCGGGCAAACTAATCAGCCCACCGAAGGTAGGAAGCAATAAGTAATCTCACGCCACTGTTGTTTCTAATAAAGTCATGATATAACAGTATACGGGAGCGAAACTTCCTTCAACCGTCCACGGTTATCCTGGTATACTCTTAAATTTCCATTATTTTTTGTGAGGATCCAATTCCTGCGCTCAGTTAATTTGACTAAATCTCTGCCACCACTGATGTACCCAACTGCATCCTCGGAAGGGTTGCTCGGAAAGGTTCCCAGACGTAAAGACCTGAGCCTGTCCCACTTACACCCAGCAGCTCTTTTGAACCTTCATACGTGAGGTAGCTCGGAACTTAAGAGCTCGACCTCTTCCACAATTTCAATTTATATTTTACGGTGTGCTATAGGGATGCAGGATAAAAATTCAGATATGTAGTCGAGTGCGCAAACTAACCGTCTTAACGGTGTTAGATCATCGTTGAAAGAGTGTCAGACGAGTATATTTAAAAACGTCGTACTTAAGGCATACTACCGGTGGCGATTAAAACCAAAGAGCTCCCATTGCAAGCGGGTCTTTATATCCGAATGATCTGGATTTTTATTCGGCCAAGTACTGTCACTTTCCATATTCCCCGAAAACCAATTTGGGAAGAGTTTTGCATTTACTAGAACAACAACAATACAACTCTTAAGAATCTTAGTTCTCCTACTCAATAAGTAATAATTAATTTTTTTTCTTCCCTTTCAGCACGTTCCCTACACACAACTCATGTCGCTCAACGCCACGGAGCTGAGCGATCAACATTGTGCACAGAAGTACGGCGCACTCTACGGACCAGATATGTTGTGCATTGCCTTTGCGGCTACACAAGACAAAGAAACTGCGTGCCAACAAAGCGCAGGCGCTGCTTTAGTACAAAATAATCTACTCTTAGGGCTCTCCCTAGCCGAAAGCTTGGATGGTAAAGACACTACACAATCAGCTGCTTTTGTCGATGTGAGTCGTCACGCCCACTGGATTTTGGAACAAATCGGCGATGGCACAAATTGTAATAGTTCGCTGTGGGCGACGCTTTTCGTCTTGCTCTTCACTGTTTGGACGGCGAAACGCACGAAATGGTCGAAATTTTGGCATTAAATTATGAAAAGGAAAAAAAGGAGAAATTTATTTTTAAAATTTTATTAATTTTTTTTTTTTATTGTATCGATTTTTGAATACAATGAGTTGTGTTAGAAAAAAAAAATGAATTAAGGCTGAGCTGTATAATGCTATACTGTAAATTGTATATATGTATACTTGTAAAAAATGAATTAGGCCTACCATATTTTAAGCTTGGTAATTAGTGCAAATGTTTTGGAAAACCTCAAAATCCTCCAATTTTGTAGTTTAGGAGTTTTGTTAAAATGGCTTTAATCTTTACCAAATACCTTATTGCATTTCAGATAGACTTAAGTAGCGATTTATAAATAGTTGAAAAGATTGTGAGAAATAAAACATAAATATGTAAGTTTGTAATAAATAAAAATATTTCTTCTATAGATGAATTTATGGTATGAAAAAAAAAAAAATTTTTTTCTTAATTGGAGTTTTAACCTTTCCCAAATCGACTTCCAACTCGCTTAGTATCGAACGACTCAGAGAGCTCCTTCCTTCGATTTTGTGGATTCGAGAGCAGCTTTAAAATCGATGAAGAGGCAGGGTGTGTGTGTGTTTTCGATATTTTTGGCACACGGCGCCTGGTAGAGATGTTTTAATATCATTCACAAAACGCACGTAAAGTGTTTGTGAGCAGTATTTGGGGATTTCATCCATATTGAATCTGCCATTGAATTTTTGAAATTGGACCTCAGATAATAATCAGAAAACGCCGAGGTACCAAAGTATTTTTTAAGATGTTCTAAATTTAATTTTTCCTGTTTTGTTTACAATTTTTCTTGCAGATTTAGATATAAAGGCACCTCCTACTCTGGGCATGCATGCGTACAGTTTGCCACGGGGCACCGGGTTTGCTGGTTAATAGCAACAATAATAATTTTTTAATGTATTTACAAAAATTGTAAAACAGAAAAAATTATAAGTAAATATTAATGAAAATGCAAACGGGAGCACTGTAGCCAATACCAAAAAGCCTAAAAGTATGCATCGATTTTGATGCAAGCATTCAGACGTTAATTGTTAGAGAAACATTCACGTACGTAAACGCCCGTTCCGTCTCAACTCTTTCAATCATACATTTGGAAGTATCATGTAAATCCAAACATACTACCGTGTACGTACGACAACAGAGAACTTATAATTATTATAAGTTCTCTGCGACAGCGCGTCGCCGTGAGTGATGTGAAACATTTCGAATTGCCCATAGAGTGATATGCATACACAGCTTATCGACGCTACTTACAGCGGCGAAATGTTGCCAGCTGGCAGTGTGTTTGCACAATTTTCACCAAATTTATAATTTTCGTCAACGGATTTGCTTAATTTATATGTTTGTATATAAACTCAAATCAAATATACATGATCTATATAGTGACAAATAATTAGTTACGAATTAAGTTTTCATTTCCTCTGAAAAAAACTGCGCATTGTCTTCGATTATTTAATATTACTTTAAAAAAGCCTATACTGGCAACCTTGTATAGCAACGAGAAATGAGCCGAGCAGTTTTACGGAAAAAAACAAATCGCCGCTGGTTTCTGTGGGACAACAACGGCAGTGACGGCTTGGGCAAGCGGTGATAACTTTACATGGCGTCGTCATAATACAGGTTGCTATGGATGGAAGGTATGTAAGATGGGTAGTTGCAGCAATACGAATGGCTATGTTGTGTGGATGTACACAAAATATGCAGGGAAAAATACTAGTTGTTGACTACAATAGAAGCCAACTAGTTTGCATTTTTGACTGAGTATTTCATCTTCCCTCTATCTCTCATGAAAGCAACTGTTATTTTTAACACGGCAATGCCCTACGAACTGCCAATTGTCCGACTATGGACTAGCTTCATACTTGGTAAATAACAAATTTACCAAAAAATATATTCATCTAATTTAAGATATATAGGAATCTCGTTCCACAGTATTATACACGATACTCCTCCGAAACGGCTTGACCGGTTTAAATGAATTTTTTGAGTTTATTCAGTTGTTCTGAGAATCGGGTAACATCTATTTTTTACACAACTAAGTGATAAGGTCCCCATCTAATTTTTTTTTTAACATTTTCTTTTAATTTTTTTTTATTGTGTGACTTTACAAAATACATATAACCCTAAATTTTCATCCTTCCATCACCAAACCATATTTTTTTCAACAAAGAAAAATTTTTATTTTATGTTTTATGTAGATCCGATCCACAAAATAGAGACACCCATAAAAGGGCTTAGCCGGGTCTGCAAATATATAAAATCAAAATAAAAAACGTTGGTGGAAATTATTATTACAAATCACCAACTGGTACGATTTCATCTTCAAAATACCAATACTTACTACATCGAACTATTCTATACGATTCTACCTTCGTCTTGCAAGGAAAAGAAAAACGTTGATTTCTGCATTGGAACTACGTTGATAAATGCTGCACAATTAAGTGTAATTTAGTACGGCAATCAGCCACGGGCTACGGACACGTTCATGAGTGCTTCCAGTTTTAATCATAACTACGTACAGGGTGCGCCATCTATATGTGTAGACAATGAAAATGTTGAATAACCTTACACATTTTTACTGAGTTTTGATAAACTCTTTTTTACTATCAAATTTAAAGCCTAACAATTTTTTTACAGCTGGGTTTGAAAGACAACGTCGATCAAATGACCCCCAAACAATACCTCGCTCTTTTTCAGCATTCCCATGACATTTGCCAGCATCTCCCCGGCGATATCCCAGCGATATTAGCCCGAATGTTATTGCTCGTAAATAAATATTTCTTCAGCTCGTCTAAAGTCTTGGGTTTGTTCTCATACACTTTGCTTTTTAAAAAGCTCCATAAGAAAAAGTCTGGTGCAGTCGAATTGGACGATCTCGGTTTCCAGTTGATATCCCCTCCTTTCGGTACCACACGTCCGGTCAACTTTTGCCGCAAGAATGTCATCAATGACTCCTCAGCGTGACGCTGCTTTTCAGACCCTTTTCACACATCGCTGGTAAAGCAGAATGCGCCAAAATCCACCATTACCGATACCGCACGGCAGCTATAATTTTTCCGACGCGGTGTTGCAACAACTGAACAATGTACATTGTAAAGCCATACATAGCAGAAATTTTATTGGAATAACTTTTCCAAAAAGCTTTTACTGCACGCAATCGGTAGAAATCTGTCAAAGTTATTCAATGTTTGCATTGACCACATATAGATGGCGCGCCGTGTACACAAGTATGTATGTATTAAAATTTTCTGTGGAAAATAATTTTTAGTACATTTAATATGATAAAAGATAGGAGGTAAATATATACATTAACTAATTTATAAATATAATTTCGAGTTTATTATATTTTTTAAGGATTTTATATGCGGAAGTCGACTTATTAATTTGTTCATGAAATATTTTTTGTAATTTTTGCTGACGTTAGTAGATATTGTTATTGCTCGTAAATAAATATTTTTTTTTATTTTTAACTTGTGTTTGTAAGTTTGTTTATTTATTTAACTTTTTTTAAAACATATTCGGTTAATAACCAAAAGTGGACTTTTATTTTTAAGACTATTTATTTAGGCCACTAGTGCTGACTTTACTCGCTCTTACATACATACATATGTATGCACGTAAGTAAATATGGCTACCATAGTTGGTCCATGCAAATGGAAAAGAAATATTGACCTTTAACTGACCAGCGTATTTGAAATGTAAAAATAAAAACTAAATTTTTTCAAAATATTTTAAAGAGATAAATAAAAAAAAATGGAAAAACTATGAAAATCATGATAAAATATGTGATTTTCCGCATCTTTTGGTAATGAAGCGTGAAAAACTTTGCTTGGAATGACACGATTTTGCTGTGTTAATGCCAAAAATTCGTTTAATTAAAATTTGCTAGAAAACTCACATGCATGTGTGAGTATGTGTTTGTGCATACGCAGGCCAAGCAGGAAAGTGCAGAGTATGTACTAATTTTGTATGGGTTACTATACATAATATATAATATATATGTATGTATAATATATATAATACATATGATTGTTTAAAGCTTACACTTTTGCCCTAGCATATTTTAAGATTAGTACATAAATAGAAATTTTGAAGCAGAAATGTTTAAATTATTTTTATTGTTATTATTATATATTTTTCATATTTAAAATTTGTGTTTTTTGTGTAAATGTTTTCACATTCAGTTTGCTTAATGTCCAAGTGACCATTATTAATATATGTATGTATTGACAAGTTTCCAATTGGTTGCACATAATTAAATACAATCAATATATTGTACATACATACACATACAAACATATTTGCGCTCACTTTTATGTTTACAGCATGTTAAGTGTTAATTACCCATTAACATGACCATAATTATGGTCAAACAACAATTTATTTTACAAGGTGTATTGAGTTTAAGCGTACATACATACTCGTACATATGGACTGAGGTATGCTGATGCAACTGTTTGCTTGGCAAAAAGTGTGGGAGCACCACAGTATAGTACATACATACATATGTACAAACTTATGACTAAATCACTGTGTATGTGTGTGGAAAATAAAATTTAAAATTGCATTTAATATTTTATTCACTTGAATTTACCTCAAATAGTGGGAAATTATGATTAATAATTATGAGTTTTTAAAATAAACTACAACTAAATAATTACTTAATTTTTTATTTCTAAGGTTAAAAAACATTGTATACTCGTATGAGTAGTTTATATTTTAAAAAGCATAAATATATTGAACAGGTTTTCCATAAAAAATTTCCTCCCAAAAGTAGTACCAAATTTCAAAACGTATATTCAAAACGTAGAATATTGCAGAAATTTTTAATTTTCAATTTAACTTTTAACAAAATATAATTTATTTAAAATTAAATAGTTTAATTTTAACTTCGTCATGTTAATAGACCTTTAATGCACGAATTTCTTAAAGACACTCAAATTTTTTAAAAAATTTATGTTTATCGATTCGAAATTTGAAGAGTTTCATTTTTACTTTTGTTGTAATGCCGCATTAGCGTTTTAGTGGGCAGTTGTGTTTCGTTGCCGAAGAAACCATAAATTTTATTTATGACCGTAATTAACCACACAAGCGAATAGAATGTTATATCCATACATACATACTACTGTGGATGGTGGCTACCAGGAGACGTCTAGCTTGAGTGCCAACTCTTAGTCTTCACATTGGAGGGGTATTATTGATTTCGTTCAACCGATGGGTCACCTCATGCTTTAAAGAAATAAATTAAAAGAGATAAACTAAAATTAAGAAATAAACAAAATAAATAAATGAAATTTAAAAAAATAAAATAAACTAAAAACATATTAAAATAAAATTACAAAAAGAAAATAAGATAAAAAAAATCATATATCATTAAATTAAATAAAACAAAAAAAATAACCAAAATAATAAATAAAATTAAAATAAAATAAAAACAAAATAAAATTAAATTACAAAAAGGAAATAAAATAAAACAAAAAACTCAAATATAAATAAATTAAATAAAAATACAACATAAAATAAAAAATATATAACAAAATTAAATTAAAAAGAAATAATATAAAAATCTTATTGAATTAAAATAAAAAATAATAAACAAATAATAAATTTAACTTCAAACAAACTAAAATATAATAAAATGGAATACAAAAAATTAAAAAAAAATTAAATTAACTAGAATAAAATAGAAATAAACCAAATTAAATAAATAATAAGATAATATACAGTAAATGAAAAATTAATCAAAAAAATTTATATTTAAATAAAATTAAAGTAGACAAAAAGTTGTAAATTAAAATGGAATTAAAAATAAAATTAATTTAATAATTATTAATTAACAATATAACTTTGAAATAGATAAAATACAACCAAAATAAAAATAAATTAAATCAAAAATAACATAAAATAAAATAAAGAAATTTCTATTTAAATCAAATAAAATAAAATTGAATAAATAGAAGGAAATAAATAAAGAAATTAAATAAAATAACAAATTAAATTAAACTTGATAAAATAAGTATAATATATTGAAATAAAATAAATATATAATAAAAGAAAGTAAAATCAACTTAAAATAAAATTAAAAATATTAAAACGAAATAAATACAAATCAATGAAATAAAACAGAATTAAAATAAAGTCAAATATTATAATATAACAAACAAAAAATAAATTATATTTATTTAAATTAAATTAAGCAAAATTAAATAAAGTTAAACAAAATAAGGTAAAAAAATGTTTTATATTTATGTCAAGAGCATGGCAACCACACAAGTCATCATTAAGATACCCAACGTCGCTAAACTATATGAGAAAAATAAATATAAAATAATAAAATAAAAGTTAAATAAAAATTTAATTGAACTAGAACTTAATAAAAAAATAAATAAAATAAGAGCAAAAATGAGAATAAAAATAAAAATCAAAACCAAAATAAAAAAAATTATAATAAATAAATATAAAAAAAGAAAATCTAAAGATAAAATTATAAAATAAAATAGAAACAAATTTAAATTAAATTATAAAAAAATAAACAGAAAAAAGTAAAAAATTAAAATTAAATAAAAAAAATGAGATCACATCAAATAAAATAAAAAAATATTAAATAAAATAAGATAATAATTATAACTTAAAACAAAGAAAAATAATATGAAACAAACAAACAAAACAAAATATGTATAATAAAAATACTGAATTGAAACAAAAGGAAAATAATTTAAATAACATGAAATCGAATAAAATAAAAACATTATAAAAAAAAATAAAAATGGAATGAAAAAACATTAAAAAAGTAAATAAAGTGGATTAAAATAAAATATGCTTAATTAAAAATCAAAGAAACTAAAATAATATAAAGAAATAAAAATTAAGTTAAATTAAAATTAAATTAAACTACTTAAAACACAAATATTAAAATAAAAATAAATAAATAAGTATAAAAAAAAAATGAAATGAAATAAATACAAAATTTAATTAAATAGAAAATGAACAGACTAAAATAAGAAACTAAAATAAAATAACATCGCATCAAATACAAAAAGTATTATTAAATAAAATATAACAATATCTATAACTTAAAACAAAGAAAAATTATACGAAAAAAAATAAATAAATAAAATTAAATTAAGTTAAATAGAAAATTAAATAAAGCAAATGAAATGTTAGATAAAATAAAATTAAATTTAAATTAATTTAATGCACATACAATAAAATATAATAACAGTAGTGTAATACAATAGTTAAATTAAAATTTATTAAATTATTTAATTTAATTGAGGTCTAATAAATTAAAACAAAAAAGAATTATATAAATTAAAATGAGATAAAATAAAAACAACATTAAACGAAATTAATAAAAAAAAAATAAAAGAAAATTTAATAAAATAAAATAAAGTTATGAAATATGTAAATAAATAATTACAGTTAAAAAAAAATAATGAAATAAAAAATAAAATAAAACAAATGAATCTGAATAACATAAAATAAAATATAATAAAAAAACGAATCAAAGCAAATCAAACAAAATAAAATTTAATTTAATTTAATTCAAATAAATTATACAAAGGAGGCCAAATAAAAAATAAAATAAATTAACATCAAATCAAATTAAGAGAAAGTCAAATATTATAAAGTAAAAAATACAATAAAATATAATTTAAGTTAAATGTAATAAAATATAAAAAATATTAAAATTAAAATGAAAGAGGAAATATATTGAAATCAAGAGCATGTCAACCATTATGCAAGCCATCATTAAGACATCCAACGTCCATCTGTTCATCTCGACGAAATCATTATGTTTGGCGAAAAACCTTGTAAAATTTATAAGATGTCGTGTCGATGATGGCAAAAGTCCAATCAAAGGGCACACACACACACACAACTGTATATATTGAAGTTGTGCTTGCACAAACATATGAAAAGCTATATTTTCCATCAGGAAAAGTAAAAAATAAAATAAATCAGACATTGCCACCCACGGAAAATAAAAAAAAACCTAAAACTTAAAGTTGAGTGGTGCAAAGATATTAACATAGGTTAGATTTGTGCTCGTGTAAATATATATACATATATAATTACAGACCAAACGATGACATGCAATTTGGCAGACGCGCTGCTTAGTAGAATATCCGTGTATGCTTGTATGTAGGTATATATGCTACACGCATCCGCCGGATGTTTCGTCAGTGACATTCTGTTTTTAGGCACACACACATACGTGCGTACATATATAACATATATATCACAGCATAGAAAAGCATAATTTTACAAATCTTCCACATATTTTATATCTTC